GTGGAAAATGTTCTTGCCAGTACCATCTTGAAAGCTGTCATGTATTTCTGTTTTCATAGTGCCTTATCACTGGTATAAGATATAACTTCTAGTCCTGCAAAGGCTTTTTCTCATATTAAATGTAGTCTTTTAATTTCAGCAGAAAAGTTGACTTTTTAATATTGATGAGACTGGGGCCATACTCAAAATTTATCCCTCTGAAATTATATCAGACTGAGAGAAATAAAAATTCAAGAGAAATTAGATTATATTGCAAGTGATCCTCTGAAAACTATAAACCTCTCTTCAAGATTTTCTTTTTTAATATTGGAGACTATTATTTCTTCAGTGAGAAATGTACTCTTTTTCATTCTTAAATGCCGACTTTGAGATTTTTGTTATGCATACCTCAGGTAGAGAAACACATCAAGGATGCAGTTTCTCAAGGAGCATCTATTGTGACTGGAGGGAAACGACACAGCTTGGGGAAGAATTTCTTTGAGCCAACATTACTTAGTAACGTTACAACAAAAATGCTTTGCACCCAAGAGGAGACGTTTGGCCCTTTAGCACCAGTTATCAAGTAAGATTATTAATTTTCCAGATCAAAAATAACAGTTACAAAACCAATGAAAGATTATTTTGAATAAACAAGATTTGAAAGGCAGTTTTTTAAAAAAAATTTGTATGATCACACAAGTCTTGTAATAAGACTGGGGTGCACATGTGAAAACATACTTTGGTTATGTGGTTTGTTTGTTTCTCTCTTGGCCTGATTTTAGCATCTCTGCAACTTTTTGCAAATCATTTTGTTTTAAAGTGTATTAATAGTTAAGCAAGGGTAGATAACAGAAAAACCTTCATATCTGTGGTGTGAAATAGGAGACACGACTTTTGACTTTGTCATGTGATTTACTAGTCCTAAATTTTTCTGACAGAGGATGACTTAGAGCTGTCTGTTCTTAAAACCTTCCCTGCCTCTCTGCAGAGCAATTGGATGTGATGGAAGAACATCCAGTTACCTCTCAGAGTTGAGAGTGCTTGTGTAGTTGGGGAAATAGGTGGGCTAACCAATGTGAAGTAAATGTTTTAGCTACTAGTATCTAGGGAGGATAAAGGCAATCTTAATTTAAACTGCTAGTATGATTTAAAAGAAGAGGTAGACACTCCTCCATTGTTTCAAAGGGAAAGTTAAATTACCTATTTAAAGTACACTTTTGGGAAAAAAAAAATTTTATTTCTAATAAAACTGCTTCTTGTCAGTAAGTCAGCAATACAGTAGGTGAACTGCAAGCCTCATTTTTATTTTTTCTTTCTATTGACAGATTTGAGACTGAAGCAGAAGCCGTTGCTATAGCAAATGCAGCTAATGTGGGTTTAGCAGGTATGCCTCTTTGTCAGATAAGTGTATTTCTGTGGTTTTAAGAGCTGTAGTGTGATGGGGTGATGATTTTGAATGTCAGTAAAGTCTCTTTTTCACAGTATTCTGCAATTGTTCTTACTGATTTTCATTCCTGTATCTCTGTGTCTGCACGGCAGGATATTTCTACTCCCAAGATCCAGCTCAAATCTGGAGAGTCGCGGAACAGCTGGAAGTTGGAATGGTTGGTGTTAATGAAGGCATAATCTCGTCAGTGGAATGTCCTTTTGGTGGGGTAAAAGAATCTGGCTTAGGGCGAGAAGGTTCAAAGTATGGCATCGATGAATACTTAGAAATAAAATATGTCTGCTTGGGAGGCTTATAAAAATCTTCAAAAAGCACAATCCCAACAGCTTGGAAAAGAGTGCTCTAGTTTTAATAAGCTTCTTGAAGCAGAAATAAGTATGAATGCAACTTCTACCTTCTTTAAAACTAAGTAACCCCGTTCTGTGTGTGTAAAGATATTTACAGTATTCTGTGCTGCCATATGTTTTTACATGGTCTTTGTTTATACCTTCAATTTTTCAGCAATGTGATCAAAATGTCCATCCTTTTTAGAAAAGAGTAGGGATGCACATTTATTATTCTTGGATTATCCCTGTGTAACTGGGAGAACTTGGAGGCTGGTGCATAATGAAAATAGACTATAACCTATGTCAAGGGGAAACTAGACCACCATTTTCTAGTACCTTTCGTGTTTCAGTGTGGATGTGGGAGGCTTTGGGATGGCGGTCTCCCTTTAAAATTTTGTGTAAATACTCACATTTTCTAATGTGCTTATATGACATCCTTTAGAAGCAAGTGTGTCTGTTTTTTTTTTTTTAATTACGGGTGAATCTGATGGTTACAAAACGTGAAGAATTGCTTTTAGCTACAGCTAGGCATCCACGTAGGCAAACAAACAGCTTTTTCGGTGCTGTAAATGCTGACTGCAGAAGCCCTATTCAGCTTTTGGTCTCTTAGCAAAGAGCCGTGACTTATGCCTAACAGCTTGCACGCCTAGGATCAAATATGGCTCTTGTTTGATGTGTCTTAGCCCCAGCTCTTAGTTCCAGTCCTAGGAATGGGACAGTCCAGGACAAAGAATTGCTGGCTTAGTGAGTAGCAGGAGGAAGATGGGATACTTACAGGAATAACTTGCAGAATTGTAAGGGGACAATATAAGGGCTGTGTGAAGAAAGCACAAGTGGTGACATGATGATATAGATAAAACTCCCTCCCTTCCATAAAAAGACCATGACTCTCCTTGGGTAGAAGTTATGCAATATCTAAAGGAACATTACTCCACCTCCAAAGAATACAAGCAGATAAATGGTTCCATCCCTCTGGGCTTTGTGCCTTAAACTGGATTTTTGGTTATGCAGGTGAATGTCCATTAGGGAGGAAGACTTAAAAACCTTTGAACATGGCTAACTGTATGACCTAGTAAAGATTTAAATAGTAGTGATTAGAGATGAGACTTTGACACATCACCTCAGTATTCTGTCATCGTTGAAAGATGATGCAAAACTTCCTTAATATGAAATAAACAATGTTGTTTAAACATTATTTTAATGGCAGTCAAGCAAAGCACTTTTAAAAATGTGCAATGTTAATTTGGCAAATAAATCAGCACTGCAGAGGCTAAGTGGAATAAATTTTGTTTCTTGTGTTCATTATTAAAAATAAATAAAAGACTGCAATGGAGGTCTTCTTCCTGTAAACTAATGAATGTACCCCATGAAATGGGATATTTTAAGATATTTTATCCCATAAAGCAAAGGTAACACAAGCCCTGGGGAAGGGAAGCCAAAAGAGTTTCACAGTTCTGGTTTGGTTTTTTTTTAAAGCGCACATAAAGTAGCATTGACTGCTACTTCTTATTTTTAAATATTTTTTATGGTTATATTTGTGTAACACTTGAGACCAGGTGGGTCTGGAGCACATTACCTGTCAGTAGTGTGTGTGCATCGTGCCAAGCAAAGGGCAGTTAAAGGACACTTACTGCCCTTCCAGTAATTCCCAACACATTTATGGTAGTGAGGACTTAGTACTGTTACCTGTGCTTGTTGACAAGTACAAAAAAAGGATGGCCTATTTCTACACTAGTTGCAAGAAACTTTCTCATATCCAGCTTCTAACCTTACACTATTGAGCACATATCCTGCCTGAATTTGGGGAATACAGTGTTGTGGAAGAGGAAACTGTTTGCCAGCCTTGGCTGCCAATGTGTGTTTATTTCTAACTGAGAGGGTAACTAGGTAGAAGAAGGTCATAACTTGGTGCCTGGGTACCACAACACAGTGATGCAGGCACAGGTACAGCTGTTGTACACAGGTAGAATATCTGCCACTGAATTGCTGACTTAAATTATTTGTCTGCCTGTGGACTGCAGTATAAGGTCAAAATTAATCATCTCATTTACAGCTGTATGACAGTGAAGTCTTGAATGTGAGTGTACTTCCTAGGACAGTGCAGCTGGAGGATAAATTCTTTAACCCCCTGCTCTCTTCACTGCAAAATTACTGATCTGATGCGTTGATACATTTGAAATCTTAATGTCTTTTCTGAGAATAGCACTTTTAATGAGTAAATGTTTACCTTTTTTTCTAGCAAATAATACCTTTTACTATGCCTGATAACAAGCACAAACCATAAATAAAGATAAGGTATGTAATAAACTTTAAAAATACCTTTGTCTAGATTGGATTGTGGTTGGATTCCAGCATAGTATCCTTGTGTCAGTAAGGTCTACATCAGTTAAGCACAGAATAATCAAAGTTGTCTTCATAACAAAAACTGTGATTCTTCAACAAAAGACTTACTTGAATTCTCACACCTTAGTTATGTCGATTGCACTTGTGATAGTTTAGCAATTTCTGGATATTAAAACTGTGATTAAAAATGTTTTTAGTTAATAAATAACTTCTGTGAAAGCACTGGATTTTGTGACTTACTTCACTTCATTCAATGTTGAATCAACAATCTGACAGCAGCCACATAAAGGTCAGTCTCTCAGATTTCCACAGAATATTTTGTTCTGCCAGCTTTATCACCGGAAAAGACGACACTTCTTTGCATCCACATGTGCACAACGTGTACCCCCAATTAGAGTCTCTTGAATCTAAATCAAATAGGTGAGACTACTTTGACATAGTAATATGCTGTCAGTCATTTTGTATGCAAGTCTTTTATGCTGAATCAAACATTTTGTCACAACACAGAGGTTCTGTATATCAGTGTCTTCTCTGCTTTCATGATGTGATTAATTGCATAATTCTTTACCTCATTTATTAAGACTTAAAATAGAGTTTTAGAAGCTCTTTTATTTTCATTTAGTTAATACAGTTTTGAAGCCTCAGAAACTGTCTTAATTTCCAACCTGATTTAGTCATGGCCAATTTCCATTTTATTTTCTTAGGTTATTCTTTAAATAGCTGTTGTTTGACACCCCCACCCCACCCCGGCTGCCTGTCTTCTCTGTGTTACAAACTCTCCAGAAGCTGTGCTTACCTGTTCTGCTAGATATTAACAACTTAGCTAACTTAAAGAAGATTTAGGTAGTGTGTTCAGAAGCTCTGTGTTACATTTTAGCACTTGTTTAAAGTTCTTCTGTGTCAAGACTCCCTGCTTAGGACCTTCCAGGAACAACTACAAGAAGTTGGTGGCATATTCACTTTTATCAGTGAGTGCTCAAGCTACTTTGCACAACTGGCTGAAGTTGTTTAGGAATCACTGCTGCTGATATTCTGTTGCACCAGGCTACTCAAAGGGATGGGGGCAGGCTACTGCTGTTACAGTGCTGTACAGTGCAATAACAAAGGGGCAGATTCCATTCCTCAGTACAGGACATTTATGTATCTCATCAGCTCATTCAGCAGCCAGTGTGCCCTTGCAGGAGTCCAGTATGAATGTATGAGGTGCCATTATAGACTGCGGCACTATGTATCCAAATACACTTAAAAGTATAGCTTTTATGAGGTATGATTTTTCCTTATAGAAAGACACTTGTATCTCATAGTACCTTTTATTATCACAAATTAGCACAAACTTCACACACACTGATGCAAGGACTTTTTCTTTTGAAGTTCAGAAACAGGCAGCAAAACCTGCCTCTATCTAACACAGTATTTTGGTTTATATTGGACACTGATTACTGCAAAGCAGCCATTGTACTGACAAACGCTCTCAGATACTGGATTTGTTATAGAGTAAGCCACAAAACTTGTGAAATTACCACACTCGGTATGACAGCTGGTGATTATTTACACACAGCCAATTAAACCAAGTAAGGACAAGCACCACAAGAATACCTACTGTGAACTGCAGTAAATTATTTTTTTTCCTGCTCTCTGATGTACTGAATTATGTCACCTCTGTCGAAGAAGATGCTTCTGTCAGTAGAAAAGGAAGGGATCAGCTATTGCACTGCTTTTATGTTTGAGTACAGACATAAGCTATGGTATACAACGTATGTCTATTAGCCTGACCTGAGTGTTGAGTCCAATAAAGTACACCATGCCTAAAAGAGTACCTGACAAGTTCCTAAAAGGAAAGACAAAAATTTATTAGTTACATAAATGCAGTAATTTCAGCTCGGAAACAGTTCCAGTTACAATACAATAGCAATTGCAATAAATAACATTTTCTAGAAACAGGTTCCTAATGTAAGTTCTGTAATAACTCACCCATCCACCCACAGGGAGAAGTGCTTCCATACAGAGACAAACTACAGATTTGCAGCTCATCTGCACTTGATTCATAGCCTGTGCAAGAATTATTTGCCTTTGCTGCCTCCTTTTTAAAATTCAATTCTAAACTTTTTATTTCTCTCCTTTGCCTTGGGGAGTTCAGGATATAAAAGGAACGTGAAATCGGTTTTTCTTTGCTGCAGAAATATGGGATTAATATTCTAGATAGGATCAATGATAAGCAATAACTGATATTAAGAAACGAATTCACCTCTCTATCCCATTTTCCTTCTTCTAGAGGAATGTTTACCTCTCTCAAACCTCAAATAAATGGCAGAAGACTACACTAAATGTCATTTTATCACCACCATCCCAAAGCTCCATCTGACTACTGCCCATTATCAGTATACTGGGGGGGAAAACTAGTTTCACTTAAGGCTAAAAGCAGAAACAGGACATTTGCCTAAACTCAATTATTTCAAGAACATCAGAATATTTAAGGAAAGTGTGCATCCAGCACAGAGAACACATGCACCCACTCACTCTCTCTCTGTTAAGTTCACACACTGTTAAGTTCCTTGTATGTGTGCACACTTCTGTTTGCCCACAGAGACCAAGAAAAGCAAAATTGATACCCTATAAGCAAACAGCTGTCAGCACAAAACAGATGCCTGAACAGTACTTACATGTGATGCATCTGACAGAGGGAGAGAAGACTGTTTACCTAAAAGGACAGAGTTGACAATGTATGCTTACACACAGAACAAGAAAAACCTGATTCCTGTACTTGTTTTACTAGAGAATCAACCTTTAGTTTTAGGGTTTGGTTTGGGTTTTTGTTTGTTTGTTTTTTTTTATTTTTCATAAAAAGATGTCTGAATTTTAATTCCTTGAAAGAACAACCTCCTAGCCTTTTGCACTGGCTTTTAACATAAAATAAACCCAAAACATATAAAGTGACTGATCTTACAAAACTGATGGATGCTGCTGACTGCACCGACATGTCCTAAAAGGTAAGTTTATAGATAAAGGCACACTGGAGACAGTATTTAGCAGAAGCATTAATGGCAGCATGGCAAACACAAAGTTGAAATTGCTTAAGCAACTTGTTTGCTTGTTTAAAAATGCATGTGTCCATGAGCGTGATTCCTGCTGGAACATTCTGGGAAGTTGTGCAGAATGGATTAAGCCCAACATTTGAATTTCAAATGAAAAAAAAATCAGTATTTTGAGTGGGCCTTAACTTTATTCAGGAATACTTTAAAGTAAACACTGCATTATTACGTTAACACATCTGGAGCAGAAACTGAAAGACATCAGAAGCTGACCTTGCTTTTATTGACCAAGTTATTTAAAAATATATATACATATACACACACACTCTCAAGAAGGGGGAGAGTGTGATAAAGTAGATTTGTTTCAATAAATATGCTAAACCCCCCATACACAGAGTTGAAACTTGGTTTCTGAAGAAAGCAAATCATACCATTTATACTGCACCTTGCTGGTGGGTATGGGAAAAACATAGACAACACCTGCACTAGCCCTTTTTAGCTCTTCACAGCCTCTCCCTCCACGATGACTCCTGCAGCCACACAAAGCTCTTCAGAGAAATGCAGGGCTGGGCACAGGATAAATATTCCTCAGTGCTGTATTAGTAGCCTTAGGGACTCCTGCTGGCTGCATTTGAGAATCAAAGGTATGAAACAAGTTATGAGCATGCCGTGTTGCTGCAACTTTTGACTACTGATTCCTTCCAACCTAGTTGCCCAACTCCATTAACAAGAGAAGCACAGAAGCCCCAGTGTTCAACTCAGCTACTCTGGTCTCTCAGACTTCTAAGAAGAGATGGAGAAAGCCCTAAAATTCTCCACTAAATTATTCTTCATGATGGAGATGGGCTATACCCTCCCTGAGCCTTCTATGCTGCTCCCCTTGATCTCTATACTGCTCCATCCTTCTCCAATATTGGGTTCTCTACTTCTGGACTAAAACCAAAAAAACTCTCTCCAAAATGCTCCCAGAGGAATGTTTTCTCCATCGAAACACATCATTCCTCCATCTCAGCCTACGACTCCAGCACATCAGTAGAGCACCCCCAGGAAAAGCCGACGTCATGGTTAAACAGTACCACTGACACAGATGTCCCCACCAAGTGAGGCTTATGTATAAAAGCCAGTTCTTCAGTTTGGGATTTCAAGAACAGTATTGTGGGGGCATGATTTTAAAGCCTAACAAGCAGGCTGTGAAGAAATTATCCAGACTGTGAACAGGATTTTAAGAACTTCAATACACCTACCCTTGCCAAAAACCTGAAAGGATCTCTTTAGGTCAACACATCCAGTCACTGAACAGCCACGGAGGAAGAAGTAAAACAGTTTAATGTTCAAGCTAAAACCTTGTTCAGTACCAATTCCCATGACAATGAAGGTAAGTGTTGAACCTCCTGCTTCACACATGGTATTTGCCACAAGCATTTCACTACACAAGTGCCTGGCACGTTCTTTAACTGAGCACTAAGGCTGACAGATGAAAACTCGTCTCAGCTGAGTGTTTAGTCTTAGAAGGTTCAGAGCTCCTCAAAAGTGACGTCTAAGCAAAAGGTTGCTTGGGATGCTTAAAATGCTTCTGAAGGCGCTACAGTTTCCTGGATGGACATGGCATAGATAAAGCACTTTCATCATTACAGAATCAGCCTAAGGCTGTACTTTCCTGTAGACATCATACCTCCTATGAAAATACAGGGGAAAACTTTCTTTGAAAACAAAACAAAGACATTTCCACCTCATGAATACTACCCTAGAAAAAGAATTCACAAAGCACAGTCAGATAAACACAATGCACTAAAAATGCTCTTTGTGTTTCCATCCTGAACTGAAAATTAAGATGGAGCCTGTGGCCACATATTGCTCTCTATAGTTGTAATGGAATTTATCTATATTGGCTTTTGCTGTTATAAACCACACTGCTTCTCCAAGAGAGTGCTAGGAGCACAGGACATGAATCTATATGCCATTGTTAGTTATCACAGTCTGTAGCACAAGAGCCCTGGCTAATTTTGTAGCAGTGACATAGAAAAAAGGGCTTTCAGAAGTTCAGACAAACATTCAGCATGGAACATGGAAGAAATAAGATGTGCTTTTCCTTGTTCCTATAATGGTGACAAGAGGAGTTAGTGGACCATCTAATCTTTCTTCCTTCATTCTTCCTTCCTCTACCTGTGTTAAAAATTTACCCTTTCATCTGCAATTAATTGATAATTTAGGAAGCTTTTGGTTCTAGAAAAAACAGAGGTGAGCCAACACGTTTCAGATGTGTTGCACCAGCATGTTCTGTGCTTTTACCCTCATTCAGTTATCTGTCTTTGGAGCTGTAGTTGAAGGAAACTCCATTTCTGATGGATCCATTCATAAGTGTTCTAGGATTCTCTCTTTCAATCTTTTCTCTGCTGAAGATAGTGTCCTGATCACTGTCAAACTCTGACTCAGAGACCATCAGACTGGAGTTGTGCTCTGTACTTCTGTGTTTTATACCTGACAATAAAAAAGCAAAACAAACTCATTAGAAAGATTTGACTTTTTAGTAATAACTAACCACCACTGTCCCTGCTGTGATATGAAAAGTAAGTGAAAACCTTCTCTGCAGTGTAATGTAACAGCATGCACCACTGCCACTACCAATATAAAAACTGGCCTAAGAACTATCACATACTGTCGGGCAGATACTCTTCCGACTTCACTACAGGCCTATCAGTTTATGGCTCTGAAATCTGAATATATGCATTTAAATTTGAAACAATTAGATTATCTTAGTACATACCTAATGTACTTTTAATAGCTTAAATCTGGAAATTAGTCTGTCTACTCAAGTGTCTTATTAACACAAGTGGGAATGAAAGGTCATGGTTTCTACAGAAATGTTATCTCTGTCTTTCTAGGAAAGCAATTTCTCAGGATGATTTTAATTCCTTGGATTCCAACACTTCCCCTGCTAAAAACTGGAATTTAAGGAAATCAAAATATATGTAAACAGCAGCTGAAGTCTACTGAGGTTTAACAGGGCACTTATAGGTCAGGAAGGAACTGCTGGGCAGCAATAAAAACAGCTCCAAATTAAAGCATGTGCAGAGGAGAAAAGGTTACATAGAGGATGTCTGTGGGACAATAAAATGTTCTAAAATAAGATTAACTAAGAGGTTCAGAGCAGTGGCTGAGCCCAAGGCTTCATACAAGAAATGAAGCAATTCCCCTCTAGCCACTCCATTGTCTGACTCTGCCATTTCCAAACTTTTAGGTCAGCTTCTGGGCTCCTCCTGACTACAGCTGTCAATTCAGACACATTGACTGTACGCTCGGTGGATGAGTTCACAGCTTACCATATAGCACTTACCGTATTTGGGTCGTAGTTCCATTCTCTCCTGCTCATCTATGTTATCTAGGATGGTATATTTTGTTTTCCTTCTTATCTTTGTCCTCTTTCTGCTAGAAAGGAAGTTACCACAAAGACATGTAATTCTCATGTACACACATAAATCTGGTCCTTTTCATACACATAGCTATATACCCTGATATACACAGTGTCATTGTACTTTCTCACCTCCACTTTAAAATAGTTGTTCCAGTTTACACCTGCATAAAGCAACTGTACAATCTGGACAAGACAGCATAATTTATTTTCTCTCTGATATACAAAGATGAAGAAAGTAAGACAAATTCATTTGCTTTCCTAGGCCACAGGGGTTCAGTTTGTTCAATTTCAACATAGTTACTACAGACAAGGCAGACATATATTCATTTGCCCTCACAGTTCACAGTGAAGCCACTTTACTGCTCAGCCAACATTACAGCAACAGCCAGCCACTTGGCCTCCCCTCTATGGTCTTTAAAAAAAAATAAAAAAGAAATCATTTGGCAACTCAAAGTCTTTAAAACCTCCAAAACTCCGGTCAAATCTTAGGACTACAGTGTATTTTTCCCTGTAGTTTCCCTAAAGCAAAGGGAATCTCTTGCCATTCTGTCCTGTGCAGCATATCCTTCCCCTTTTTCACATGGATCTGTATCAACCAGCCCTCACTCTCTGGCACAAACCACATGAGGACAAAGGACAAAAGCAGCTGAACTAATAAAGAATCCCTTTATCATCAAATCTACACAAGCCTGTGAGGCTCCACACTGTGGGGGTGGAGTGGGACACACTTTACTATCTAAAGTTTTCTACTAACAGCACTGTTCCTTCAACCACAAAAAGCAAATCAGCATCAACTCCCACACATCCTTTATATACTGCAAAAAGTTGAAAATATGGAAAGATTTTGACAGCATTTTATTTTTACTAACACCTGAACAAGCTACCTATTTCCTGAGCCGTTTGGGCTGCAGCAGAAACACTTGCTCTAGTGACAGAACTTGCAGGGGCCTGTCACTTGAAAGAGAATTTCTTATCAGCTCACCAGGAAAGACTGGAGGGAGGGCAGAAAGGGAAACAACATACAGTAGTAGATAGAACTGTTTAGGGAAAGAGGAAGCAAGAAGTCTGCATAACTGAGATCGCTGGAGTACTCCTTGCCTGTTAGCCACATGCAGCCTACCTACCCACCCTTCCTGTCCAGGGGAAACACAAGACTGGGAGCAGATCCTTTCCCATGGCCTAGAACATTCCATTATCACTGAGTGACCTTCAGGGTGTGCCTCTTTTTTGTTAGGATAGAGTACCTGGAGGACTTGGAGACTGTGAAGATCTGTTGTATACTCTCAGCATTTTGACATTAATTATCACTTCATATGAATGATGCTGCAACATTAGCTTTTTGGGTTTTTTAATGTAGAGAAGCACAGAGACACAAATGGATACTCTTTTTATCAACAAAAGTGTGTCTCTACAGAAACAGCTACAGGAAGCTCCTCACATGTCTGAAAAGAATTCAGTGGTTTAGTGCTAAGGACTGGACTAAAATATGGCATTTTTTGCATATACCCCATCAAAAAGAAACACAAATCATGTACCTCTTGCAGCAGCAGATGCAGAACCAGGCAAGCCCTACCATGACCACAATCAAAATAAAAACAGATACAGTCACATAGAGTATACTCCACTCTGAAAAAAGAAACACAACAGTGCTTTGTAAAGTCATGAATAATTTCTAATACAAACCCTATTAAAATAACCAATTCTGAGAAATGGGGAGTGCCAACAGGAAGTTAGGAAAACTCAGCACATTCATAAGAAGAATTCCTAAAAACTCTTAAGCTTTAAGACTGAAAGTGCATGTTAGAAAATTTTCTTCCACTCTAATACCTTTTACCGTCCCAAGATTTCTGAAGTCTATGTCAGAACTGAAAGTCCTGCAAAGGGGCATGGTTACCACCTCAGTTATCATTCTCTAACTGAAATAAACATAGGGGTACTCTAGGTCTGGCTTTAAAAGAGCAGTAGTGCTTTAAAAGAGCAGCTGAATAGAGATAGATCTTTCTACCTGCATACTTACATTTATAAATCCAGGAAAACAGAAGGATACAGAGAGATGTGCAATAATGTGAACTCCAATATGTGTATGCTCACTATTTTCAGTGTTATTATTATACTATGGAATAGCACAGCAGGGCTGCAGGAGGTCCTAGCCTCAGGCTTAAAACCTACCACTCTCTTTGTGTTGTCATTAGTCTTTGTTTACTACATAGCCCATGGCTTGTACTTAATGGCTTGTACTAAGCTCCTTATAAGCGTTTATAGATTTACTTGAAGACTAGTGCATTGCTCAGCAAATGTCTCCAAGCCTGCACATTACTGAGACAGTTGAGCTTTATTTCAACTTAAGTAGAAGACAAATTAAATTTAAATTTAAGTATTAGTTTTTTGAAATAGAGAATCTAAGCTGATAAACTAGATGTGCCATAGAATATAGACAGGATCATGCTGGTGAACCTAAATTGCATCTCCTAGATGCAACAGGCAAACTGAAAGAAACAGTGGAATTAATCATGCTAAGAAACTGAGGTTCTAAAGGTGACAGTATTGGTCAGTCCAGAACACTGATGTCTTCTTTGCTTAGATCAGATCACACTTCTAGCACAGAAGCATCAACCACCCACTCAGAGAATCTAAGTTGCTGTCTCTTTTACAGCTTTGCAACACTCCTACTCAAAAGCTTTCCAGTGCCCATGTTATTCAACAATCCCTCCAACTGGCCCCAAATTGTTGCAAAATTTCTCTCCCGTGAGAAAATTTTCACATATTTTTCATCAGATAGTGATTCTTTTTAAAATTTAAACTTTTAAAATATTTTAAATACAGGCTACTACTGCCAAGACATTGTAATTTCAGGAAATCATTCAAATACCTTTCCACAGAAATGTACTGCTGGGCTGGAAAACAGAGACTGTTTTAGTCCTCCCTCAACATCTACCTCCTAAGTATTCCCCATTCTGAGAGCAAATAATCAACAGTCGCAAGACTACGAGTTACTCTTAAAATACATTCCACAACACCAAACTCACCACAATTACTCTCTCCATCATTTAGATAACGATGTATCAAGTTTTCCATCCACAGCTGGTAGCAAATGCAGCGCTTTGTTATGGGGTCACAGTGCCCATGTCCAGAGCATTTCAAAAGACAGGCTACAAACAAAAACAAACGTGGGTCACTTGTGTAAACGGACAACTTGTCATGCATCCTTTTTGGGCAAAAGCAGCAATTCATTATAAGAAACCCTAGTGGCCTATCTATATTGAAAATATTAGAAGACTAGGTTATAACACAGCAGTCACCCGATCATTCTGCCTGACACTTGCAGACAAGAACAAGTTAGGTTACCAGCCTATTTACTGAACACTATAAGCTCTGAAGGAACCAGAGACATGAAACATATCTATATTATGGCTATATTGAATTTTGCCCATCTTCCAAGAAAAGATGTTATGTAAGGTATCCTTATCCTCATTCTCCAGGCCTTCCTGATGCAGACCAGATTAAGATGTACTTTTGCCTGCTGTCACAGATGATGTCTTTTAAAAGAACACAAGTAATTGGCACCAGTTTTCCACAAATCATGAAACATTTTAAGTATTGTCTTCAACATTATCTTTTGGAAAGCTACACCCAAGCCCAGACACCAGATGGCAGACAGAAGGCCTTCATGCACTGTTTCCAGGCACTGTGTTAGCCAAATGCATGCAGAGTTCCAAGATGAGCAAGCACGGTACAAAACACACCAGCCGTGTCAACTCGCAGGACTTTAAAGAGCAGGAAGTCAGCCTTCTGTTTCAAGAGCTGCAAGTGCAGAGTTCTTGAGACATCTGATGCCTTGATCACCGTGGAAGGATGCCCGTTCTGCACGTAGAACACAACTGCAGTGCTGCAGAAAGAAGGTCATGACTGCTGTCAAAGATCACTTTTGTCAGGCATTCAGTAATAAAGTATAAAGGCATATATAGCCTTTAGTTTTGTTTGTTTCTGGAAAGCAAATGTCACCACTGATAAAGATTTGAGAATTCTGTCCATGGATCAGTCAACTCCATTCAAATGACACAGACTTCTGAACTTGGAGCACCAGCAGTTCTTTGGCTTCTCAGTTTCACAGAAGAAATGTGAGGACAACAGCAAATGTAATTCCCTTCTTGGTCCTCCTGACTTCTGCTTTAAGAAGTACATATACATTTGCTTTCTCCACCCTCATGCAGAACCTGTCATAAAGTGCTCTGAAGCAATTTCACTAACTTTAGGAAACCGAATTAAATAGGAGAAAAAGCTCAGAAGCAAGGGATACAGAGACTTCATATGGAAGCCCTCTTCCCTCATCATCCACAACTTACAAGTTGGGTGGTGTTGATCTCATCCTGTATCAGACCCTTCAGGGAACATTTTAATTTAAAACACTGTTATTAAAAATATCATAGCTATAAATGGTAGATTTTCCAAACTGTGTTTTTAAATTTTAAGAGGTTCCCCGAGAGCTAAATAAACACCGAAATGGGCTTTAAATTGCCAAGTAGTTAACAGGAAGGAATTTAAAGGTAACTCATGTCAACATCAGTTGGGTTCTGTGGGCATGCACAGCCATCTCTAGCTCTCTACAGCAGGTAGAGAGGGTATTTCTACTTCAAAGTAAAATGCCACATGTAGGAGTACCCACTGGGGAGTTTCCTCTGCAAAAAATGGGTTTTCATTACCAGTTACCTGGGAAAATGTTTATAAAATATTAACAATATCAAAACCTTAGAGAAGAAGTAGAAACAAAAAGGTTTGATCAAATAGAGTTGGAACCTTATTTTGAAATACAATACTTGCTTCACTGTGAGAAAGTCTCTCTGTTTCACTCTGTCCAGCATTTTGAAAAAACAGCAGCACTTTAGGGAACAAAGACACTGAAATATATAACCATGCACTTTCTCTAAAGGAAAAAATAAAAAAATCTATACAGAAAAAGTTTGATTTTTTTTTTTTAAACAGAATACTTCAGTTCTAGACCTCCACAGAGCTTATTTCATCGATTTTCTACCGCAGAAGACAGTCACCTCTTAAAGTACATTCTGTTGAGAAGTACAGCATTTTTTGTCATCTTACAAAAGATTATTTTGCAACTAATTATGAGCTGTGAAAGAGGCAAAGAAAATCACAAATCTTTCTGGTACAGGAGGATATCTTTGTACCTTATATCTGAGTAGGCTTGTATCTTCTGAACTTTGATATCTGAATCCAAAACATTCAGCAATACAGCCAGCTGTCTCACCAGAGTGTCCTTCTGCTGTTCACTCAGCTGTCCCACTCCAACCTGCAGAATCAGCTCCACCAGACCATTCCTTTTGGGATCTGACAGAAGAAGAACATACTATTTTTCAGAGCCTGGCAAATATTTCAGTACCAACTGAAGACAACATGCAGTACTTGAAAGTATTTATTAATACTATATTTTCCTGTATAAGACCTGTATCACTGAAAAGCCAACTCTGCCATGTTCTTAAAAAAGTACTTAGTCTATATTGTCACATTCCCTCTGAAACAAACCAATCTCATCAATCGAAATAAGAGTACTTCAGGGTGCACTTCAGTTCAGCATTTACATATTTCTGTGCAGAACAGCAACTTCTGCTCCCCTAAATGCTGCCATCTTAAAGAAGTCAGAGGTAAGCATTAGGTGAGTCTAATTACCGAGTTCCCTGCTACTTATTTACTACTGGTTATCACTCAGGAAAAGAGAGCCAAAGATGAACTTGTATGTCTGAGAATGGCAAATTTGAGAAATATCGGATATGTTTACCCTTAGAAATTGAGGGTTCTGTTAAATAGTACTTAGACTTCTAGAGTGCCTTGCAAAGAAAAGAAACTTCACAGTTATCCAGTGAGAATCATGACCCAATTATTATGACTACATTCAACAATAAAGTGAGGAACAGAAAATCACTGCCCAGGAGTCAGACAAGCAAGAAAACTGAAGCTTCAACTTCCATCATATAGCTGTTCATCCTGCATTTGAAAACAAGTCTATAAAACAAGCAATATCAAACCATGAAAAGACAGTTTACATCTCCCTAACATTCTCTGAGGACTGCTTTTTTCCTTCAGGAGGAAAGAAGAAAAACAGACATAAAGCCACACTTTCAATCATCAAACACACATCTGCAGCATTTGTACCTAGACTTAACGTTTAGCTCCCATCTCTTTCTACTGGTCAAACAGATTACAGTCAGAAAAAAAGAAACAAAAACCTACAATGAATGAAGAGGAATAAAAGCCTAATGAAAATATTAAACTAGAAAGTATAATTTTCATTTATTGATGCTCCCGCTAAGGTGACTGTAGCAGTTAAGAATCCTGACATGTCAACTTCTAACACACTCAGGCCTATTCAGAGAACAATAAGGTAGGAAGAGAAAGACCTGTTTGCTTTGAGAGAATCTTGTCAACATCTAAATAAATAAGTGAAAAGGAGAACAAAGATGTGGTATTCACAACGTATCGATGACCTTTTAATTGTCATACCAGGCCGCACTTCAACAGTTGCTGAATCAACATCTGAGTCTCCTTTAGCATCCGTCACTTTCAAGTGGAAAGTATAGGTTCCTTCCACCAGATTAGTTAGCTGCAGTACTGCCTCGTGGTCCGAGCCATGGATCACATCCTGCAAAAAAAAAGGTACTGGAATAATTACACCCTCGGGGAAAGCTGCAGGTTTGACTATCAAGTCAGCTATCCAGTATGACAGTGCGAGTTCTTGCTTTGACTTTCGGGACAAATGTGACCTACCCATAGTTTATAGCAGAGTAAGGACAGTTTGGAAGTGAAAGTTAATGAGGATGTCTGCACAGTATGGATATTTTCATTAAAAATACCCCAGAAAGAATAGCTGACAATCTGAAGAACTCATTTGCTTGAAAATTCGAGACAGTTACATTATTATTTCTCTATTTTATACCACCATCCTTAGTTCTGCTTTTTTAACTCTTAATTTCCTTTCCTCCGAGTTCATGTATTTTCAACTATCAACTCTGCCAGCCGTATTTAAGCTAAGCCTCTTCAATTCTTACACACTCATGTGAATTGCCTCTAGAAGCTTTGTTTGGATTTTGCTGTTTCTCCTCTCTCAGCACTTGCTGATTTTTCAGTATCTTCCCGAGTGCAAAGAGCTGTCCACAACACTTTGTGAGATAGGGAAAACAAGTTATCCCAGGTTTAGTAGGACATATAAATTTCAGTTTATCATGAGGTATTTCTGCTTTCTGCCTCTCTCAGAGAGCAGACTCCTCTGCCCTAATGACCCAGGCTATTCACCAGGGTCTGCCAAGCAAGGTATCTACACATCCAGCGTCAAATACCATTTTTATCTTAAACTGCAAGTTTTACCTCATCTGGTATCAGACATGATCCCTTAGTCTTTATCAGTACTTCTTGTTCTCTCAGATCCTTACTCCTCTGGAACAGCTGGATTTCAGATGATTTTTCTCTCTAACACATTAGCTTGATACTATCAGCAATTACTCTGAGACACAGCTTTATTCTTCTGTCTCAAGTCTTTCCCAACTAAGTCCACATTGCTGCAGTGCTCTTCCTTAGCTATCATATTCTCTAGCTGTACTGAAAATATCACAACCCCACTGAACTACAGCATTACAGAGAGCAGGGGAGACAAACCATACATCACAGCATCTTATGAGTCACACCTGCTCTCCTGGCTGCAATGACATTACATGAATAACAAAAGCAGAATTTGACTCATTACAACCCTCAAGAAACTCACCCCAGCTGCTGGGCTTTGACCGTCCCGAATCCACAAATATGACACAATCCCCTGGTCATCAGCAGATCTTGAGCCATCCAAGGTAACAGAGTTATTTGGAAGCACAAGAACATGTTTCCCACCAGCATGCGCCCGAGGTGGACTGTTGTTTTCTAGCCACAAAAATAGTGGAGGATAAGGATTTGCTTTCAAAACATGAGAAATGTGACCTGTCATTGCCAATACACCCACACTCCAATTCTTTACCTGATAATTACAGACAATAACAACACAACCTCATGTTAAAGCTACAGGGAAAGGATGAATGGGTATACAAATTTGGCTTCAGAATTATTACAGTCTAACAAAAGCAGAGCTGCACCATGAGGAGAAAGATCTTTTTAAAAAAGAATTGTGGGATATTCTATTTAGAGTCTCACAATAACTTAAGCATCAGATCTTCTCAGTCAAGCAAAAAAATTTTCTACCTACTTAGAAACACGGCCCAGCATGAGGTCACCATGCTGGGATCTTTCCATCTGGAGAAACACTTATTTACCCAGTAGAAGCTTGTGCAAGAACTTATATCTTCATAATGCCTGTATTTAGGCAATCAGGAAATTTAAGGGTAAATCTAGTTCTCACTGCTTACCACTAGCAGTGAGATTAAGGCACACATTGGGCACATGGCAAAAAAAAAAGCCAGAGAAACAGAAACATGCTCTCTTTCCAGAAACCAGACATCACTGTCTTTTATTTAGAACACAATTGATAAGAGAGAGATCCAGCAACCTGTGGAGCTGAGTGAAATACCTCACTGGACATAATTAGTCGGAGATAAATAATTCAATACTGGGCACATCTCAAGGGCCTTGGCTATAACTCTATTCTTTAAAACAGCAGAGAGTTTTCTGTGATACAAGGGATTTGTCTCTTTCAAATAAAAGCAGTTGACTAAACTTGGTTATTGGAAAACTAAGTCTTTTTAATACTGAACCTGTGACTGTAGACAAAACATACTGTGGCTACACTTCACACCACAAATGAGACCACAAAACACATTTGGGCAGAGCTGTTGCCACGTATTTCTAATTAAACACCTAACTGAAACTCTGAAATGGTTCAAGCAATGATGCATATGGGTAAAACAAAGTCCAGCTTCTTCTTGAAGAGGCACAAGGGTAAGGGCAATCCCAAGCTCAAGTGCAAGTTGGGCAGAGAATGGACTGAGAGCAGCTCTGAGGAGAAAGACTTGGGGGGTGTTGGCCGACAAGAAGTTCAAAATGATCCAGCAATATCCACTTGCAGCCAAGAAAGCCAACCATACCCTGGGCTATTGCTGAAGTCAGCACAACCCCGGAAGTGTTCAAGGCCAGGCTGAACAGGGCTTTGAGCAACCTGGTCTCATGGAGGGTATCCCAGCCCATGGCAAGGTGGTTGGGACTAGATGATTTTTATGGTCCTTTCCAAACCAAAATAGTCTATGATTCTATCATTATCCTAAAGCCTCTTCCACAGCATGGATGTTGGGAAAAAAACCCACAAAACAAACACACAAAGACCCCAAATCACCGAAACCCCACACCACAGCAGCTGTTTTCCTCTATATAAAAAACCCCCAAAACAACAAAAAAAAAACCAAACCAAAAACCAGGTCTCTTAATACTAAATTTTTAAGTGGAAATTGGTTCATTGAGATGTCACTTCTTGGAGGTTACTGAAAATCCACAGTAAAACTACTTTTCTCCTCAAAGCTTAACTTCAAAAATAAAATAAAAATGTATCTTCTTAGTGATGTAAACATATCATTGTCAACAATATTAATTTGGAACATTTTTATTACAACTAATTTTGCATATATTGAACTTCAAAATATCTTGCAGCAAACAAAATTAATTCTGCCAGTCACTTACAATACTACTTTATTACAGAACAGCAGACAAGTCTTACTGAACCCCCCCCGAAATATGACAAGAAATATATTATAACTTTCTGTTCTAATTTCCTTTACATTCTGTCAGCAATTGCATTAACTGGCAAGCTGCCCACCATATCCTAAGACACAGCAACAAGGTTTCCCTGCCTTTGAGGCTTACCTTCCTTCACAGTTATAGACAGCACAGATGCACTGCTCAAGCCCTGTTGGTCTTTCACAGTCAGCCTGAAGCGATAGGTACCAACTTGAAGACCAGTCACAGTTGCTATTGCTTTGTCATCATTTTCCATCTGTACAGAGCTTGGTCCACTGAAACAAAACATGTCAGAAAAATAATCCTGCATAGCCAGCCAAACCATTTGTTCAGCAGCACTGCTCATGCCATTTGCTTTTATTTTATAGCACTGATGGCTAAAGAACTATATGAGACACTAGTTTAGTTCAGAGAATGCATAAATGCATTTTCTCGAGGCATTCAAAGCACGCAAGCACCACATACCCAGTTATAAAAAGAGTAGAAAATGCACCCCGAAAGTTGAATCTCACCACTATACTATTCCATGGGAGCATGAAGATGATATTGCTCTAAGAGCCACTCACAATATGAACTGGCTGCCAGCAGACCTATTCCTGTATGAGGTACGATGCTTGCATGAGCTAATAGCTTGTCCTTTTATTAAGGATCAATTATATTTGCACATAAACATACAAACTTTTGTAGAACATTTTCAATCATCACTCAAGACTGCTTTAGTCAGTCATTACTGAAAGTTCAGGATAAAGTGACTGTCAATTTACTTTATTATTCAATAAACAAGTAACTGAGAAACTCTTGTTCATCTAAGCACTAATGGGAAAACTTCGTATATTACAGGGGGGTACCCAAGCCTGCTACTTTCTTTTTAAACAGGAGACACAGAAATTCCTGTCATTTTTTCTTAATTTTATAAAAGTAGGCCTCAAAATGACACACTGCAAAACATACACAGAGGTTGCCTAAGCTTTTCAAGTTGAACTTAAAATTACTATTTCTTACCCTATTACCACCCAAGTGGGAAGGTCCTGAAAGCAATTCCCAAACAGTGCATCACCCAACACAATTGCATAAGAGACTCTAAACACTTTCACTTTGTTCTCTATTTTATTGGAGATTAGTAAAATCTCTAGATACCTGATATTTTCCCAATGATAGAAGACAATGCCTTGGTCATCTTGGCTTTTGCTTCCATCCAGTGTAGCACTTTCTACTGGGAAGGTCAATTCTTTGTCAGGGCCAGCCACTGCTACTGGAGGACTGTTATTTTCTGCAAAATAATATTTAGTGTATGACATTTGCTATGTAGTCACTGGCAAGCCTTTCCAATCAGAGGGAAGATTTTACACAGAATATTTTATTAAAGAATTGATATATTGGCTCTAAAGGTACAAATCACAAGTATAACATGCATGAGCCAGCAGGTAGGAGAGATCAGCTCTGCAACAAGCCAAATACCACAGCAAAAACTTCCCCTTTGCACTGCAGGCACAGTCACACTCCCAAAAATTTTGCTGCATGCTCAATGCATTATATGAAATGCTACATAACAGGAGTGGTGGGGCATTCTCGTGGTCCTACTGCTCCACTTCTTTCAAAACCTCTCACTTGGTTCTTTGCCCTCAAAGAAGATACTGACCTGTGTTTTCTGCTGTTCAAGGTCAGCACGACGCCACCAACTTAATGCCAGTTCAGACCCTTTGAGGATTTAGTGCAAAAACATGTAACCTGTTATTCTGTTTTCAGCCTCTGTTTTTGTGGCATGGTAAAACTGGCAATGCTGCCACTTTCCTGGGTATTTATTTGCCCTTAGGCCTGACTTCAGCAATAGCATCTTTCTAGCTCCACACTATAGCAGGTCTTAAAGGCACCACCACACACTGTACTTCCAATTTACGTTCTTGATTTCTGCAGTAAATGCCCACTGTAAAGTTGTGCCGGAAGGGATCATCTACAAAAAAGATATTTATTAAGCAACAACAGGAAGATAAAACATTGCCCCGTGGTGGAATGTGAAACCTTCACATTGGCAGAAAAGAACACTTTGGATGTAGTAGGCAAACGTTACAAAAAGAAAAGGTATTAAAAAAAAAAATAAATCTCATGAGGCCTGGACCATTTGGGCTCATTCATCTCTTGGCTCCCAAAACTAAACAAGCATTTGAAAGATACAGCTTTTGAAAACTCCTTGCTTGACACTTTTCCTTAGAAAACACAATGTAATTCTGGTGAGAATTCAAATCACACAAGGACTCTTGCACAAGAACTGCACAACAATAAGAAAACTGAGCAAAGCACTGACTGATACTCTGAACAGTTGCGGTGGTTTGAGCCCCCCCCAGGGGGTGGCTGGAAGTGGTTGGTGACAGGTGAATTTCTGATGTGGGACCAATCGGAGCTGTTTTTCGCCCCTGTGAAATTAGGAAGGAAGTTGTTGGCAGAGAGTGAGAGAGATTCGGAGCCGTGAGGTGAGAGGAGAGAGGCCTGCGGGCCCCTTGCGGGGGGGCCAGGCCCTCTCTCCCCCCCCGGCCGGGCTGCGGGGAGCCCAGGACAGTATTGAAACTGAACCGGGTGCTGTGGCCAAAGGATAGGGGGCTTTTCCCCCCACTGCCCAGGAGAGGCGGTGGTGTGAACCTGAGAGGCCAGCCGGGGAGTTGGAGCTAGCCCTCCCCACCCCAGCAGGCAGGTGAGGCATTAGAGTTGAGCCAGAGGTGGGCTGAGGGGTGGTTCGGAGCCAGAGAAGCAGCTGCGATCATACAGAGATGGAAAAATTCCAGGCAGAGGAGAGAGACTGACGCAGTCTCGCTGCTACCTTCTCCCCCCCCATAATGACGGGGGAGGTAGCGACCTTGAGCTGAGACTGAAGCAATGAGAGATGGGCCGAGGGGCTCGAAGGAGGCTCTACATGAAGTTTGGGTGGGGGCAGCCGAAAACCAAAGGAGGAATGTGGGAGGGAGGAATGCCTCCCTGTGACACGTGGAAGCTGAGCTGATGCAGCAGTTGGAACAGAGAGAAGCCAAGCCAAGCAGGCTTTTTCTGGGTAAGGACTTTTGGTGAAAACTATTTGGGGTATAGAAAACTGAGCAAGACCCAGAAACCCTGCAACCTGGAGAGGAAAGAGTGAACATCTTATTCTCTGGGAGAAACTTTCACGAACCAGGGAGAAAGGACTCAAAGCTGATTCCCTGGACCTCGTGATGAAGACCTGGTAAAGCAAATGTTCCTTTGCAGTCCAGTAAGAGACCTCAGCAGAAGCCGAGGAGCTGGTGGGGGTGCAAAAGACCCCTTCCCCAGTACCCCAATGAGAGAGACTTTAGCTATCGCCTTGAAGGTTTTTCTTCTGAACTGATGTGGGAGGACCCCCAGGGGTGGTAGAGATTGTATTAGTACTGTGTATTTATTTGCTTTTTAGTTTCTATAATATTTATTGTGTTAGTAATAAATTTTGATATAATTTCCCCATGCTGAGTTGTTCCTCTCTGAAACCTTCTCTCTCTTGCATTGAGGCAAATTGTGGGGGAGCTTGGAAATTGGATATTTTTGAGGTCAAACCTCCACAACAGCTTTCAAAACAGATTTCATAGGACATTAAACTGAAGACCTACAATTTAGCTTTTAGAAGCATTTAAACAGATCTCTGTGCAGGTAGCCTTACACGATCAGGCTGGTGTGAGCCCTCAGGATCACCACCTGGACTTTTATAATTCTACACTTGTTTTAACTGTCTGCTTTGACAGAAAACAGAGGTGGAAGAGTCCTTGATGCAGAGATCCCTGCAGTGTGGGGACATAAGGCACTGGAAAATAGTGCTAAGGCATTGGGCTGGCCCACCCCAGAGGTGCCTGCAGGTGACTTACCAGGCTGCACGATGAGTGTGACCTCAGCCGTGGACCGCTGCCTCGCAGAGTCTGTGACAGTCAGCTGAAACGTGTAATCTCCTTCCTGCATTGCAGATAACTGGAGGTACGGCGTCCGCACTCCCTTCACAGCATTTGTGAAGACAGAGCATGAGATAAAACAGGAGTGTTCATGGATAATGAAAGGTCTTACAGAGCAAATGTGAGGGAAAAAAATGTTTTAATTCATAAATACGGTGTTTGAGCAACACTTTGAGCACCTTGCAGACAAAGAGGAGGCTTAAAATTTGGTGCACAGATGGATGTAATGTGTTCATGATTGCAACTGTCCCTACCAAACCCAGAGAAATAACTACAGACAATAAATCCTACTTTCTCCTGCTGGTATAATTATTGCATTATTTCTGAACAACAATAATTCTCAATCAGGAAATTAAACACTGATGAAAATTCCTATAGCTCATTACATTTCCTTAGGGATATTTTGAAAACAAACATCATGACATTTGTTAATATTTATAAAGATTGTTAAACGCAAAATCAGAATTGAACCCAGAAAGACAGGCTTATGAGGAAAAAAACATATCAAACAAGATAAATCTGTCCTGAGTTTACTCTTTGAGAAGTATTAGCTGATATCTATATAACCTCATAAAATGACTGGCCCAGCTATAGGTCTTTTTTCTAATAAAATGAACATTTGTGGCATCTCTCACATGGGGAATAACAAATCACAATGCAATTACGTTTGGGGGGTTTTTTGGACAAAGATGATAATGAGAACTAAGGGACTTGATAAACTATTAACTAATCAGCATTTTAACAATAGATACCACATCAGAGACCAGCATCCTCTGGAACAGGTCCAGAGAAGGGCCATGAAGATAGATCAGGGGGCTGGAGCACCTCTCCTAAGAAAGCAGGCTGGAAGAGTTGGGGTTGTTCAGCCTGGAGAAGAGACCTTATAGCACCTTCCAGTACTTAAAGGGGGCTTAAAAAAAGGAGTGAGAGGTACTTTTTATATAGGCAGATAGTGACAGGACAAGAGGGAATGGCTTCAAATTGAAAGAAGGCAGGCTTAGCTTAGATATTTGAAGAAATTATTTACTCATCGTGGTGAGGCACTGGAACAGGTTGCTCAGAGAAGTTGTGGATGTCCCATCCCTGGGAAGTGTTCAAGGCCAGGTTGGATGGGGCTTTGAGCAACCTGATCTAATGGAAGGTATCCCTGTCCATGGCAGCAAGTTTGGAACTAGATGATCTTCAAGGTCTCTTCCAACCCAAACCATTCTACAACTCTATGATCCTCAGCTTTAGGCACATGAAAAAGATTACTAGTCTGTTGAAAAGAAACTGTAACATGCACTTGCATTTCCACATTAAATACCCAGTGAATCCACTGGATATCTGAAGCAGTCATTCCCTTCTTTATCGAAGGTTGTTTTAAGGTTGAACAGCTCTCAAAAACTGTAAGTTCAGCTTCCATGGATGCTTTAGGAAAGTTTTTTTTCTTGGTGTATTAACAGAAATAAGCCATAATGCTGCAAGTCCTTCCTTAATTCTGTAATTGTCTCTACAGTATAGGCTTGCATCGATATTATTCCTTTTCTAAACAGATCTACAAAGTAATCTCTTCCCAGTTCTGAAGGCCTAAAGCATTTGCCAACATAGCAGAAATCATGACTCCCATAAAAAATGGCTTCTCAGTTTCAGTTGGCTTCATTACATTACATTAATTACCTCAACTGCCTACAGAGCTGTAAGAATCTCCAACTTACTGAGTGCAAGTCCATTAAAAAAATTTATTAGCTTTTCTCAGATTAAAAAAACCCACAACAAACCAAACCAAAAAAAAAAAAAAAAAACAAACAGAAAAACCCCAGCCATGAAAATAAGGGAATAAATTCCATAAACCCTCAATGGAAATCCATGTTTTAGTGAGCATAAAAACCCATCACAGAGCATGGCTACATAACACTGCCAAAAGATCTTGTCATCTTTCATGTCAATTCAGAAGATCAGGTTTCCATTTGAGTTCTACTCTCTCCAGGAGAAAGCATTGTGAGAAAACTCTGACTACCCCCACATTCTCTCCTAACCAGTTTTCAGTATGCCCAGCACATCAGAAGATGGGAACCTGTGAAGCAGGTTCAAGAACAGACAATGTGAACTTCATGTATTTTCAAACCACCAGGGAACAAATAACAGTGTTTGGTTGGACCGATGGAATGGAAACAATTATGATCAGGAATTAAAAGTAGTATCTAAAATAAGAGCTGAATACATCTAAGAGGACAACAACAACAAAAAAAAGAGTAACATCATTCTAGATATTTCAGTGCTTCTGAGCAGTTACTCAGGTATGTGTTTGCTCATGTTAGAGGCAAAGATAAAAGAGCTTTCTAATCCTATGCAAGGAGAAATTGACATACCTGCATTGCTACAACCTTGCCTTTGCTTTTGGGACTGAGGGACCACTCATAGCTGACAATTTCATGGTCGTCACTGCTTTGGTTTCCATTTAGCGTGATGAAGTTCTGGGGCAAGGTGACTGCCTGATTAGGTCCTGCATTAGCAATAGGTGGGTAATCCACTGGTTTGTTGACAGTCAGAAAAGCAATGGTGGAGTTGGCTGCTCCATCTGAATCAATCACTGTGAGTCTATAATAGAAAACCAGTATCTGTTAAGATGGACTTCTGCCAAGATCCAAATTCAAAGACTTATTTTTTCTGGTAGTTTTTCAAACACTACATAAACCAGAGACACTGATTAGATGATACAAACTTCTCCTTCAGACACACTCATTCCTCAACTAAGACAGGAAAGAAATTCAGAAAACTGTTTACAAACAGAGCTTTCAACATTTGGGAAAAAGAAAAAAAGCCTAGCTATTCTGGATCCCAGATGAAACCCTCTGCCTGCAGTCAATGGCAGCTTCACCAATTTCAAACAGATTTCACTGCAAACTCTTTTAAAAATGTACTCAGTAAAAACCAGGGATTTCATTCATCAGCCATAGCGAAACAGTCCGTGTCAACATCTATAACTAGAACTGCTTTGGATTTTCAAAAGCTCTACTTATACCACAGCAGTAGATCCTAACTTCTTATTTCTTCGTGGCACACTATTACTAACTTTAATAGAGCTTAATAGCAATGTCAAGTCACAAAACTAAAAAAGACAGGGTTTAAAAAAATCCAGACATTACTGCCTCTCAGAAACACAAAATCAAATCATCTTAAAATGAGACTGTTGCAGACACTTGAAGGGGATGAAACCTGCCCTCCACAGTGCGGTAACTGACTAATGTCTAATCCTCCTCTATTGTGAAAACTGCAGACAGCTGACCACATGGAAGGGAACCTGGGTGGGAACAAAACTAGTGCTCGTTAGTTCTGTCATTAGGGAACACATACTTTTTGCAATGGGTGCACATCCATGCATATCAAAAGAACTGGATTTTACTGACCAGCTAATTTCTTGTCAACTAGAACATACTGCTCTAGTCAGCCTCCCTCAAGGGTGCAGAGATATAACAATTAATTTCTTAATTCCTTAGGTTTGGAACACACTTAAAGTATTACTTGCAAGAAAGCTCTTTTTTAATATGGAAAAAAATTCACACTAATTTCTGCTACTGTACAATATGGAATAATTCCAGTAAAGAACACAGAATGAAAGTAGAAGCTATAGAACTTTTGGTGAAGCTTATGCAAACCACCACATTTAATGTATACGTATGATGGCTTCGACATTCTGCTGATGCTTCACTGATATACAATGTATTGACTGGTAGCCAAAGAACACAAGCTGGGTAAGTGGGAAGTCTGCCTGCCTCTGTGAAGACTAGGCTTTAAGTTAAAAAGTTCAGAAAAGGGACTTTGATTTTCATTAAGCACCCCAAACCACAAACATTGCTTCCATTGTCTGGACAAAACCCAGCTTCAGCAGTGCATAAATAGAGGAAACCAGTAGCAGAGCAAAGGCTTTTATGAAGAACAGAATGAGTCTCAGTAAAATCAGCACATAACAATGTCTTGTGAGGATCAGTCTGCCAATATTATTCTGTCTGCCACCACCCTTCAGGGGATGACTTTGACACCCTGACTGCATAATTTCATCTCAGGGCACTAGCTATCTTCTAAGCTGGGGAAAAAAGTAATAAAAAGAGTTTTGTCACAGTTGTTATTGCTGAAAGTGGGAGGTATTTAATTTACATAACTTTGTGCTAAAAAGTATCACTATGCTGGTATCACAAAACCACGGCCAAGCACTTTTTAATAAAACTGCTCCCTAAGTCTCTCCTCTGTGCAAAATGAAGGGTAACAGCATGCAGAAGAAAAATGAAGTTTTCTGTTTGAGGAGGTAGATGTGAGCACAAAGGAAAACAAACATTTAGCTGACATCACAGAAATAATTAAAGCCCCAAAGGAAAGCATCTGTACAGGTACCTGAAAGTGTAGTTTCCAGGAACAAGGTTAGACAAGTGCAAGACAGCTGTGTCAGCAGATGCCTTCTGCTCTCGCAAGGGACCTTTAATTTCTTCCCAGTGGTAACTCACTATCTTCATGTCATCTATACTTTCTACATTCATTAAAGAAAAACACATCAGTTTCTTGTAGCAATTGCTGAAATGAATGTTAGTCTTTCATGCACTCATCTCTTACTGGTTTTCTACACCTGTCTCTTCAAGTACATTTGAAAAGGCTTCATAAAACCACAGATTCCAAGTTACCTTTGGTATAATTTTTTGAAACAATTTTTCATACACATGGATAAAAAAAAAAAATTCAGTCTCAGACTGCACATTCCAGCTTGTCTACTCTCAGTAACTATGAATATAATTACAACATCTCATCACACCCTATGTGACAGCTCTCTACCAAGGCCCCAGCTGTACTGGCACAGAAGAAGCTGTAAGAGTAGCTGCTGTTTGGATGCAGCAGCCCCTGACACATTGCATCTCAATCTCCAAGTGGAAGGCTGCATTTAATAATTTTTTAAATTTATTAAAATAATTTATAACTGGACTAAAATCTCCAAAATAAATCATGATTTATCAGGGAACTTCTGAGAAGAGTGAGAAGAAGCAATTCCACTTATAACTGACAAACAATAATGTCGTAATTGTATATTAAAAATACAGGATATAAACACAGGAGGGTCCAGTACGTACGACTGCCATCGATGAAGGTGGAAGTTGTAGGCAAAGAAACTTCTTGCACTTTGGGGGAAGCAACAGCGACAGGCGGCTGGTTAACTCTGAGGACTGTGAGACAGACAGGGGGGAAGAAAAAAAAATATGAGTGAGAGCCCAGGCAAAACTAATGTTAAGTCTACAGATCAATAGTCCCCAGTGATTAAATCCAGATCAGACAGCTTTGCAGCAGCATCTGCTGTCCTTTTTGGACAAGGGAGAGAAAAGGTTACTGAATAGCAGTGTGCTGACACAGCAGTCTTCCACTGCAGTTGCTTCTAACTGATATAATTCAGATCAGACCCATGCACTGTAATTTGTAGATAGGGCCAGATCAGTGCCTAATTGCTGTACTGGAGAAGGAATCATAAAAGGTGACATGATGCTACCTTGGGCTTTGCCTGAGGAGGGTGAAAGACCAGAAAGCATTTAAACACAGTGAGCGAGCTCCTTAGCTCTTCTTCCTTAGAACCCTTTATAGACATCAGGACACGAAACATGTCAGCATGACTGGACTGCCAGATGTCCTTGACAAACAGTAACAGATATGTATGAGGAGATAAGCATGCTGTACAACTACTTGTGTTGAAAAAATTAATTATTTCAGCCAACTGACTTACCTGGTTTGACTGTGACATTTACAAAACCTTCACCAAAGGCATTTACACCAGAAACTGTCACTTTGAAGGCGTAAAGTCCCACTGATAACTGAGACAAACACAAAACAAATTGGGTTACATACTGAATTATCCAAAAGCAGTATGCATAAATCTGACAATCATATTGTAAACAGAGAAAAATCTGGATATCTGAATCCTCAAGCTACTTTTATAAACACATACACAAAAGACCACTAGTCACTGCCTGGAAGTGGGGAATATGAAGCAAACACTTCAGAATTTTTTCCCTATTTAGAAAATTATTAGAGCACGCTAAAAAAGACACTTCTAATCTTGCATAGATTTGGTGACACGCACAGGTGAAGACATTCCAGATGACTTGAGGTCATTTGAACTCCTTGAATCAAGGTGCCTTTCCCCACAGGCTACAATTCTGTGAAAGGACCACACAGATACAATGAGCCTGAGCTTACAGCTCACTTACATGAGAGAGCTTCAAAGTCTGGCTGTGCCTGTGCTCCATTTCACCACCGTAGTCAGCAGGGTGGCTGATAAGGCTCCACTCATAGGTGTAAGCTGTTTCTAAGAGCAACAACACAGTGTAAGAGTAATCAGTTCTGCCTTCAAGATAAGAAAACAAAAGAAATCAAGTTCACCATCCATCAGATGAAATGCTAAAGTAGAAAATCATGACTGCTGCTCTTTAAGCCTTCAAAATGAAGCAGTATGAATCCATGTTGAATATCCAGTATCTTGCAACTTGGTAAAGCAGCAAGGATGTAATGGACTTCACAAATAATCTTCTTCACAAAAACGAGCTTCACATGAAGTAAACGTGTTTTACACAGCTGCCTATGAAACATGTATCAATTGCGGCTGTAATTCAAAAGCTGGCAGTTTTAAGGTAAATGTTGCATTCAGAACTTACTTTCCCCGCTTCCCTCCCATTTTACAGCAAGATGCTATAAACTGGGCCACATCATCTTTTAGCAGAAACTATAGGCTTTTTATTGAACCCTCTTGAGTTTAGGTTCTGAAAATAAAAGTCACTTAAAAAAATTCATCCTTTAAGTCCAAAGGAGAAAATCCTCTCTGCAGTTGGAGCCACAAAAGAGGTAGTAGTAGGAAATGAGGAAAATTGTTTTATCCTAAGGAGCAGATGTTCACATAACTCAGAACTTGGCTGCATTTACAGGTTGGTAGTGTGTGCATCTCCTTGTATACCAAGGCTATTCAACTCACCTGTAGATGGTGGTGGGACGGCAAAGGCATTCAGTTCAACCTCATTTTTGGGTAGCATCACTTGTATGTTATCTCCAGCAGACACAATAAGTTCTTTTACTGTATCTAAGACAGAATAAGTACACTATGTTATAACAGATGGAATTGATATAAATTTAGTATCTTCAAATATTATTTCCAATGGATTAATTAAAATTTCACAAACACTCTATAGGGAACAAGCAAGAATAATTAAAAAAAATTCCTCGTACATAGTAAAATAATAATCTATTATACTCATAACTGTGGTTCCCTCATCTTCCACCAAACCAAAGTTTTTCTTCTTCCCCATCTATGAAGTGTCATTTTCCCTACTTCTGTTTTAGAGAAAAGTATTCTGATTATTCCAGTACATCACAGGTTACATTGCTCTACATAAAGAATGACATATTTTTATCAGTAACTGGATAGAAATGCAGGAATTTAAAAAATACACAGAGAAGACAAAAAGGCTATTTGCACTACAGCAAATATCATTAAAGAAAGTAACATAGCTCATACTAGAACTAAATATCACACTTTCTTTCACCAAGAAGCACTGCTTCTATATTTGTGTTGCACTTGTATGTCATGCTCCAATGTCCATCTCAGTGCCCCTTTTAAAAACTCCACTTGTATAGCAGGGCAAATGAACTGCACACTCAATCCCTTTGCTATCCAGTTCTTGTCTGCGAAAACTCTTTCCTCTTCCAAAAAATGTTTAAGTACACAAACACAGTCCCCAACAGAAACATACTAAAGCACAACTTCAGTAAAGTTCCCATAGACCTGAATTTCAAAGGTTTTAAATGTCTTCCTTTTAATATTGGGAAACCACAGAACAGAGGTTCTCCAAAAGGCAACATTCACAAGTGTATAAACATCCAACTTACAAACTTGGAACAGATGAGCAAAAGGCTACTCAGCAGTGGCATCTGATGAGCTTAAAAATGGATGAGGTAAAGAGGCCACCCTGGCAGCACACTTTCTGTCACTGCTAGTTAAATGCACCCAAGGCTCCACAACTGATCATGGGAGTTGCCCTACACCTGTGGAGTGGAAGTTTGCACTTGGAACTCCACGTGAGAGGAGAATAAAATGGCTAGAAGAGGGTGATGATCAAAGGAGAGAAGGAGGAACTGTCATTGGCTGAGAACACACATTGGCTGAGAACAGGCAATCCCTGTATAAAGCAGTAGCTATGGTGAGATTCATCACAACCTTCCCTTCAGCTTATTCTTCCAAGCTCCTTTTTGAGTCCTCTTCAATCTCCTCTTGTGAAGGAGGAGCTGCCTAGTCAACAGTCAATGGTAATGATGATCCACTGTCTTGGAGAGGGATCTCTTGTAGCTCTTCTTTTCCTGTTACCTTCTACTACTATCCTGCCTGGCAGTTTGCAATTTGGCAGAGAGTGCCAAGAATGTCCCAAACCAGACTTGCTCTACCAGGAAGCAAAGGGCTTAGCTCTCCATATCCCTCGGTGCATCAGGAGTGCAGAAAAACACACATCTGTGCTTTTCTGCTTCTTGTAGCCCTTCTAACCCTTTGTCAGGGTGCCCAGGGAAAACTTAGCAGGAGAGAGGAGACACTAACATACACACAGAATTTAACAAAGCTACAGGGGACATAGTGCTTAAACATCCTTTTCAAAATAAAAACTTTTGCTCTGCAGCTGGAAGTGTGATAAGCCTCCTTGCAGTTCTGAAACTGCAGCAAAACTTTCTTTTCCCAGGATGAGGAGGCCATATTCTCCCCTGCTAAGAGCTAGTAGGCTTCTCCTCTACTAAGGGCTGAGCTTCCTCAGGTCCCACCTATGCTGCTGCATGTTATCTGACAACTATAGATAGTGGGAAGCCTACTGGAGAGTTTCTGAGAGGGATCAATGTTCTGAAGTCACACAAAAATAACTGCATGGCTAGAAGAGACTATTCTGAAATTTCAGAAAGTCTCAGGTATTGCTCACAAACTATAAAAATTAACCCATTAAAAAGAGGGTCTTAATCTCTGGGATTATGTACCATTTGGATAAAGAACAAGCTCATACTAAAACGGGGTGGAAACCTAACAGCAGTAAAGCCACTCCCACTCGCAGTCCAACCTGCAGGTACCCCTCAGATCTCCAGCTATGTCGAAACATTACCTGCTTTAGCAGCAGTAGCAGGTGGCGTGAACTGCTGCATGGGCTCAGATGGCACAGTGTTAGTGGGAAGTAACATGATCCCACCTTCAGTGACGTTCTCTGGGGACACTGTGGGAGTCTGGGTTTTCTCTGACACACCTGGGAAGAAATCCAATTTATCTGAAGAAGAGGAAGGTGTAGCAGCCTGAAAAAATGAATTATAAGGAAAGAGTTGTCATAAGTGAGACATTTTTCACATTTCTAGATTTAGAAGTATGCTGTTTTTCAATAGCATATAGGATGACCCTAGTGATTTATGTTACTAGGAGATTTTATTCATGTACAAAATATTTATGGAATGAGGACTGGTTTTTTGTTTGTTTTTTTTTCCCCAATCAATCTTTTAAGAAATGCTAATAATTTTTGAAGTTTCAAATGCTGAACAGTGTAGGCTATAGTAATGAGGTAACCTGAAATACAACTAAAGCTATCAGTTCTCAAAATAAAATAAAAAAAAATAGTAGGACAGGTCTAAATACAGTCATAAACCTTTAAAAGTCAATGACAGAAAGTCCAAGTGGTATTATTGTCTTCATGCTGTACACACACAAACATAACAGAATCCTTGCCTCTTACTACATCTGCTCAGAACAAACTTGCTCAGCCTTTTTATCTCCTCACCAGTAATAAAACACCCTACATCTCTCTCCTTCAGTCACCAAGTAGTAGTGCTGTTCTCACTGCTTCATCTTGTTAGGAAATCAGAACTGCAGCAAACAACACAGCAAGTTTGGCACGAATAACTCAGCACTGTGTGAGCCTTGCCTCCCAATGACACATAAGCCTCAATGGGGCAACAGTTTTTCCTTAATATACTCAAGACTTATTTCTGATCTCACAACTAGGGAAAAGCATTTTTCCAATTATGGTTGTGTGGGTCGCATGAAGACATAACATAGTGCTATTATTTGTACATAATCTATTTACTGAAGAATAGGATTGTGAAGGTTGGTAAAATGTACACTCGTATCACAAATAGCTGAGGCGGAAAGGGACCTCTAGATAGCCTAGTTTAACCCCCTTCCTTAAAGCAGGGTTAGCTACAGCAGGCTGCTCAGGACCAAGTCCAGTTAGGTTATGAGTATCTCCAAGCACAGAGAATACACAACCTCTTTGAAAAATCTGTTCCTGTGTTTGACCATCCTCACAGGAAAAAAGATGGGTTTTAATGTTTAAACGTAATTCCTTTGTATTTCAATTTGTGTCCATTGTCTCCACTGGACAGTGCTGAGAAGAGCCTAGCTCCATCTGCTTCACACCTGTCATAATTATTTATACACATTTGTAAGGTGCCCCTGAACCCTCTCAGTTCAAGGCTGAACAGTCCCAGGACTCCATTTCTCTTCGTATTTCAGGTGTTCTACTTTCACTCTGCAGTTTGCCTCCCCAGGAAATAAGAGCAGCTCAGCCTTGTGGACAGGAGGAAAAGCTCCCTGTTCAGCTAGGAATGTGAAAACAATGCCAGGGATGGTTATTTCCCAACCTGTGAGGAAATAGAGAACATGGAAGTCATCTGCAACTCCATCTCTGCCTTGAACAATGGACAGAGAGAAAAGATCCCTGTGCAGCTGGGAGAGTGAAAGCAGTGTCAGCAATTGTGGATGACTACCGTGTGAGGATGCTGAGGACCACATCAAGAGTTGCACCTTCAGGTGAATCCATAATGCAGACAATGGAAGCACCTCTCTGGTCACACCTTCAGCCCTGCTCGATATGCAGGCAGTAAGATCTCTCTGAGCAGGTGGGACACTGACAGCAGCATCAGGGACTGTAGCTCCCCTGAAGTAGTGCCTTCAGCAGACCAACCCCAGACCCTCAGCAGGAATCTCACCCTTGACAACATTATCATGCACAGTGAGAGCCTCAAGCACATCCTGCCTCCTATCTTGACAAAAGGTCTTCCCTCCAGACATCTCTCCTTTACATAATCACTTCATTCCACATCTTCCAGAAAGATCTTTACCCCACCTGAGCAAACCAAAGCGTTTCCTTGCCTTTCAAATTTGAGGGAAATCTACTTTTCTGAGCTTCCTCTGACTTTTTTCCTCTTCTGAACCTTTGGCAATCCATCAGCTGAAAAGCAGCCATCTTGGCTTTATAGGACAGATGGAGACAAAGTCAAACATACTTTTCCAGGGACACTCTATTCTGCAGTGGCACCAAACATCACTTCAGTCAGCAAACCTAGGCCAGATGCTGCAGTCAGAAAAGGTCCCCTGTGGCACCGTCACATCTGAAGCGGCGTCACAGCCAAAAAGACGGCTTAAACTAAAAACATTAGCAGGCAGCAGACAACTGGGGCAGGGACAATATCAGAAACTGAGTTCTCCGGCAGAACCTATTACTGAGAAATTTGCTGGAGCAGATGCGGAAGGCAAGATTAACCTAAATTCCAGCTTGGGAAGTGAAAGAAAGAAAAGAAGGATTCTTTCTGGGAGTGAGCAGGGCAGATAGTTCTGTTGATATGGGCTTTGTGGGTTGTTTGCTTTTACCCATTTGTACAGCCACTATTGCTTGCAACAAACACACCAATGGTGAGGGCCCACATCCTTCAGTTCTCAGATTTGACTTGAGTGCACATCTCTTGAGAATTCCAACAGAAGTTGAGAACACCCCCATAATCCAAAATGGGAAAAACAACAACGACAACAACAAGCGCCATGCAGTTTCCTGGGGAAGCTCAAAGTTACACTGCAGGCAACAGTATCATGCCAAGAGGGATCCTTTCCCACTTCTGGTCCCTGGCTGACCCCATAGATTGCGTACTCTTTCCCCCTCCCCTCCCCCACCCCATGAATGTGAAGGATAAACCCTACCATGTTTCCTTACTCCATCCTGATCCTGGAGACAACCCAACATTCCCCCTCAAGGAAACATCTTCCTCAAGTACTCCTAAAGACAAGAAAGTGAGCAGGACTCTGGAGAGTCAAGGGCTGCTAGTGTTGCACTTCATATGACTGCTTCCCCAGCAGTGATTCCTCCATGTCCCTCTGCACATAAGACTACTACTCAACTGCAGTACCATTTCCTCTTCCTCATTTATCTGCAAAACTTTGTGGGAAGCAGCTCTGTCAGCAGTGAAACTTTGCTGGTCTGCTTGTCCCTGTGTCATGGTTTGACACCCTGCTTCTCTGCATTCAGTCACCTCTCTAATGATTTCAAGCAAGTAAGATCCCTACAAATTGTGTAGTTGGGGCGCTGCAAAAAGAGCAAACCACCATAAAGTATGACAGGAAGTGCAGATTTCGAGAAAGAAATTTACCTTTTTGGCAGGTAAATCTAAATATTTAAACATCTTTCAGAGGTTTTATACATATCCTAGAGATCAAATCAATGCATTTTTAACCAAACAGAACCAAAATAATATATGAACATCTCTGATATTCAACTTCATTCTAGGTCTTAAATATCAATTCTGAAGGCAAGCCAATTAGACATTAAAAGGCTCACCATCATATAAAGTCTGTCAGGCATCTTAAGGTTTCTTAGGTAGAGCTTTATGCATTTTGACTGCACCATTATTCCTGCAAATACAATAAGCTCAAGAAGCAAGTCAGGCCTAACCTACTGAACATTTGAAACACTGCAGCATCAACACAGCAGCTGCTAGAAATTAAGACCTGAAAAACCTTACAGACCTTAGCAGATCAGCAGCTAACTGGAAATTTTAAAAAGGCAATTAATACTTTACACTTCAGGGATGGGCAGCACTGCAGATTTCTGTTCTGGGCAGCTTGGCAGCATATACTCTGTACAGATTTCTAAATGTATTCATGTTATTGAGCTGCTAGACGGTAACAGTCCATAAGATCACTCTGAAGTCCAATGTAAACCCAACAGTCAGGTTATTCAGTTAAATGACAAAAATTCTCTATCCAAGTCACATACAGAAATCCTTTGCACCTGACTACATTTATGGCAAGGATGCTCCAAGGGCACAGACTCTGGAGGTCTGTGCTTATTGGTCTCTCAGTTTAAAATCTGTCTCCAGGTCCTCGCTCAAAGAACACAGCACCTGAGGACACTGCATCCTGCTGACGACTGTGGAGGGAGGGAATTGCATTTTTGCCACCCTGTTCTGTCTGGCTTGTCAAAACAGCTTTGTCTGGAAGCTGCAGAAGGGAGTGTGTCAGCACAGATCTAGGAGATATAGAATTGCAGTGGCAGAATTAAGAGGATCATAGGAATACATTGTATAACATGTAATAAATAGGGCAATTCATTAAAGTTATTAACAAATATGATTTTAAGACCTTCACGTTTTCATAGCGCATACAAAAAGATCACAGCTTGAGAGGTTGTTTGGATTATATGCCAATGATAAAACTATTTGGGGACATCTCAGCATTTTTAATCCAGTGTAAAAATTTAAGATTTCTTTAATAACAAAATTTGGTTTCCAAAAAAAGTTCGTCAGAAGGAAACACAAAAATGTGCTGAACAATCCATATGAGATCTGATAAAAATGTCTGCTTGCTGGAGAAAGAAACACGTAAGAGGGAAATCCTATCACCAGAATTTGTCACAGGCCTTTTTCACCAGGGTCATAAGTAAAGTTCCCAAACCAGAAAAACCTGAAGCCAAAACCTGGAAATTTGTGTTAGCCATACTGGCGGGGTTTGGGTGGCAGAGGACTGGCTGCACGGGTCACCCCTGTGGTTCCAGACAGTTTGGAAATGGATGGAAGCAAACCACCATGCATCAACACTGCAGCCACTCAAACATAGTTAAAAAAGGGCCACTGGGGGCAGGGGATAGAGGAGAAGGTGGGGAGATGCACAACAGGAGACATGAGAGGGAACATCTGGAAATGAACACTATTGAGCACAGGGCTTGAGACACCCTCTTGGAAACAGGCACTTCATGGCACCTCCCAGAGAACTGAGGCACACAGAGAAGCCCATGCCAGACAGATGAAACAAGTAAGAAGGAAGGAACAGCAACAGAAAAGAGAAATAGGCAACAAGTGGCAAAAAGGAAACTGTCATGCACTGACTCCACTCTCCCATGCCACCTGTCATCTCACCAAAGGGACTGAATATAAACTGCAGTGAAAAGAAGGGGAGTGGAGATTAGGAAGGGAAGAAAACATGCCTGAAGTTGATTCTGGGGAAGGCCAGGGAAAGGCCTGCTCATCATCTTTTCTCTACAAATGTCTAAATTCAAACGATTCCCACTTGGGAAACAAAGGCTGCACCTTTGCATCTTCTGCTTCTCCAGATTCTTTCTTTACATTAATAGAGCGTCTTTAGAGTAATTTCTCCATACATGTCACGACCAGTTTTCAATGCTATCCCATCAACCATCTTCTGCAGCTCTGCTCACAGAGCACTTCCTGATCATTTAACTGCAGTTGTCTTACCGGTTCCTCAGCATCACTACCAGCTGGGGATAAAGACTGACCTAGGTTTGGAGCTTTATCCCTTCTGCACTGAAAGAAGTAAGCTCATTCCTCAGCCTTTCTACTGGAATTTCAGTGGCTGTGCTAGCATAATGTTAGCTTAATATAAAGATCACACAAGAATGACTTCTTTGTGTCCCAATAAGAAATAGGGTTTTTTCCATTTCACTTTACAATAAACACCCATCTACACAGTCGGTGCACAAAGAGAAAGAAAAATCTTTCTATTCTGGCTGGGGTAGCAAAATCAAAGTAGAGATTTACAAAGTAGGCTTGACCATATATATTATTACCACTGCAGGATGTGAAATCTCAACTTTCATAAAACGGTAATCACATGATCCCTTAGAGACAGGGAACAAACTTGCTCAGCTCTGTCACATAGTTTAGGTGAACTCAAAGTTTCATGGCTTCCGTAAGGCAGAAGGCACAGTCAGTAGAGATCCTGACAAGTGTCTAAAGTTTAGCACAGTGCTAATGGTCTTCCATGTGACAGCAAAATGCAAAGGAGGCAAGTTTCAAGTGTTACTGCATGCCCAAAGTGCACAAACATGGTGGTGCATGGAGCTACCACAGGTTCTGGCTGTGGCTTAATTTCCAGCACATAGCACAGGCAATAACTGAAAAATGCTTGTAAACTATAGTACAGCAGTGGTGGGATCACCTAAATTTTAACTTTGTGAAAGCAGCTCAGCTATCACCCTTTGTTAGAACTAACTGCAACACTAGTGCATGACAGAATGGCACTCCAAACTTTATCAGTAGGGACAGCATACTTTGGTATCACACTCTTCACATATACACAAATATGTATGCATGCTAAGAAAAAAACTATTAGGATCTACCCTTCTCTTCTAAACCCCCATGTTAATTATGCTCATTTCAAGGCATGCATGGTAGAAACTTTTTAAAACAAATCTCCCATCATCAACTCTGCTTGTAGAATGAGTACCCACTTTTCGACCTGCAATAGCACTTGATCTGCTATCAAATGTTCTTCCATACACATGAAGACGAGTTCTAATCTCTTTTCACTCATGCCAATACACTTCAGACCAACTTAGACAATCATAAAAGTCACAGGCTATCTTGAGCCTAGAGGAAGTGATCCTCAAAAAGCAACCTCCTCTCATGGACAATCTCCCTTGGGAATCTTCCAAGCAGATCCCACAACAGGCCAAAGACTGCTCTACTAAAGCCCATGATTGTGACCCTGCTTTCTAACTTATTCCTGCTCCTCTTAAGAGCCTCCACCTCACAGCCATATCCCTAACAAATCCCTCCTTACCTGCAAGGGTGAGGTCCAGCAGAGTCTCTCTCCTCAGTTCCTCAATGACCTCTGATAACTTCTTGAAGTTATCATCAACGTCCTCCAGAAACCTTCATTGCTTGTGCCCTGCTCTCTTGCCCTCCCAGTAGGTATTTGGGTGGCTTAAATCCTCCCTGAGGACCAGGGCTGTTAATATGAGGCTCCTCCCAGTTGCCTTAAGTCTTTATCTTCTTCTTCCTGACCGGGCGGTCTGGGGCAGACATGCACCCTCATGTTGCCCACAGCAGCTGGCCTGCCAGCCCTGACCCTGCCAGTCCTGACTAGTCCATTGCCACCTCTAGGCAGAGGTCTTGGAGAGAGGTCCTCTCCCGAGCACATGCTGGAGGGGTGCATCACCCCTCTGTGATCGTGAGCAGACTAGGGCAAAACCCAAGGCACCCTTTGATCAAGAACAGTGGACAGAGCTTGTGAGAAGCTGCTAGAGGCTCCAGCCTCTGCTAGCTTTCCCCTCCCAGCTACAACAACCACCCATTTTCCTCATAACACTCCCAGATAACCCCCAAAAACAGTTCTTAAAACATCTATAAGATCTCAAAGCAGAACCCAGAAACTACCACACCCTTAGGCTGCAATGGTATCCAAGTTAGACAGTATATATAGACTTGCTGTTCTCCTCACATACTTTTGCCATTTCAGTCATTCCGTCCAAGAATCTCAGTTGTCACAGATTTCATGCAACTTTCTTATTAACTTGTATTTTTCTTCCCTACAGTAATGTCAATAAATTACAATTTTTACAGCAAGTGACAAGTAGGTGCTGGTTACAAAATCTGGTGGAATTTAGAGCAAGTCAGCTAATACTGCTTAATTTCCTCTTTCTGGTAGGAGTGTCAAACCCAGGGAATGTTGAATTTATAGCCTGTTTCAACTTTTCAACTGATCTTAAGAAACCAGGGCCCCTTTAGACTCAACTGATCAAACTGGTTGGCATAAATAGAGAACAGGTCCATCTTACTTAAGTATATATATTAGATTTTAAGTATGTAATTTACTTTTCTTATTGTCACATATAAGTTCTTATTGAACTTATGTTTACTGGTCTTGGCCTTTGAATACTAGAGGATCCACTAGTATTGCTCTGCTAACTTCCAATGAGTCACCATGGGTCAGAAGTGAAGACGACTGTAACACTATTACACCAGGTTCCAAGCTCACTCATTTGTACACTTCCAAGGAAACCCCACAGTGCCCCAAAAGGAGCTCTGCTCCCTATCATCTGATTTAAAAAAAAAATCCTTTGGTGATTTATCTGCCTATTAAGACAATCCTCTTCCCTTCAGCCTTTTCTACACTGTAACAGGACTGTTAAGTAATTTGAGTGTTGTACTATTACAAAGCAATTATCTCAGATTTTCAAAGATTTGAAAAGCAAAACAGTTGCCAAGTAGCCTCACTGTACTCTGCCTGCTGAGGGGCAAACATACCTCTTTTTGCAAAGCATCATCAGGTTGTGCAAGAAGTTGAACAGCTGCTTCCCTTTCAAATGTTTTCCCAGGGAATGGTGTAATCTCCAGGAGGGATGACAACCTGTCTATGGAGTGTTCAGCGACAGAGTTCAATTCAGAGACGTTTTTATTTGAAAGGTTTTCCACCTTCACAGCCTCCCCTTTCTTTTCAGCCAAGTCTTCCTGGTTATCTCCGTCATCACTTGTGGAAGCATTGAAGCCATTTTCACCTGCCATCATCAGGCCCCAGTCAGCATAATCTGTGCTCTCCTTCTGCTCATGTTTGATGCCCATCTGAAATGGGTCCTCCTCCAACTCTTTATAATCATCAATGTATTCAGGTATCTCCTCAAGGCTGGGATCTTTGCCAAGCAGAGACAGCTTCTTCAGGCTACTCACTTCCTCAGATGGCTCATTCTGGTGTCCCAGAGAGTGGACCATGCTTGGGATCACTTGCCCAAATCCTAGCAGCGAGGCTCGCCTCTGAGAAGGCCTCAGCACAAAAGTAAGATAGGACTTCACAGTTTCAATTTTTTTAGGTTTACAATTCTCTTCGTGTTGGCAGTTCACGATGTAACAATGTTGTTCAAACATCCAGGACAAGTCACAACCAGAGAGGTCACAACAAGCTGCGATGCAGTCGGACACTGACATGGCATGAGGAACTCGCATAATTTTAGTGGTTTCTAAGTTGGGAGATATTACTGCACCTGAGTACGTGGCTCCTTCTCTGCACTGCTCACAACTGGAACCTGAAACAACACCATGAACATAAGGCACAGCACTACAACCAAGCCACAATATAGTTTACTGTGACTATAAATGGCTTATCACAGAAAACAAGATAAAGACAGGTGGTACCCTGGTTAAAAAAAGCTCATTTTCTTTCACTAACATCACCGCTCCCTTTTTTTCATCATATCCCTTTGCAGTAGTATTTGTACTTTGGAGGATTTTTCAGCATAGGATCTTGATATGTTTTGCAAATGTACCTTTTACTCCTGTGTTACAAATACAAATAGAGAGGAAAATGGGTTGCCAACACTTAAAAACAAGAACAAAGCAGGGAACACACAGAAAAAAAATAAATCACAGGGCACCTTCATTAACCCTACAGCATAGTAAGCAAAATACATTTAAAAAAAAAACTTAAATAAGATGCTGTAGAATGTCATTGTTTCATTTGAGGTAGAAGGCAGCAAAAATCTACACAGGAGAAAGATTTGTCATCTCATCTGAACTTCATGAAGAGTTCCTCACTCCAACATAATTGCTGGGCTTCATACAAAAGCTGGATAAATTCTCAAACTTTTGCTGCTTTACCCAACAGTTCATGTGAAATCCCAACAGCTTGTTTCACTATGGAGCATCTTTCCTTCATTTGTAGCGAAGTTGAAATCTTTTAGAATGACATCAGAATTAATTTCATAGCACATCACAGACTGAGTGCGAAGTGTTCAAAAGAAGTATGAATCGACATCCTGAATATCTCAGTCAATTTTTAACATCTTGTCTAGGTGGATTTTTTCCCCTGGTTATAATTGCTCTTCAGAACTCCTGTCTCTAAAATGCAACTTGAAAAATCTGATCATGCTTCAAGAAACAGTTGAGTAAAACCAGGACATTCTTCTTCTGGTTTTCAACTAGACTTGCTAACTCCACAAATTAAAACAAACATGTCACCATTGTGGAGCTAACAGTAACAAAAGACAAAGTTGACTCTGCTTTGCATTTCTGTTAATGTCATTAACAGTTGAGTTCTGGCAGCAGAAACCTCATTATTCACAATACTATAGGGTAGTAGAAAAAGAAAAAGGCAGCTTGACTAATGAGCTGAGGGGCAGGAAAATGAAATTAAGGAGTAGGAGTAGGTTGGCCATAGGGGCTAGGTCTGATCATGAGCCTTGGAGATGCAGGGATTCTCCTACACATGTGCTGTGTCCAGAACCACACTACAGTTCCCACCACATCTTCTGGGCTAAACTGGAGCACCGTCCTTCACAAGTCATTAACACAGCTACTGAAATACCTGTGAGGCATCATGTTGCCTGGGATGAATGTAAACTTGCAAAGTAAGTTAAGTTCAGCGCAAAAAAATAACAAAACCAAAAAAAACCAACAACGAAAAAAATTGTATTGCATACTGAGGGATAGAGTGGACAAAACGTTATGTTGGTTTACAGAGCTAGCTGTGGAGAGTGAGGAAAAACATGAAACAAAACCAAATTTTAAAAAAGATTGATGACTTGCAAATAGATATAGTTGAATAGGAAGATGACAAAAAGGATAAAGAGCTTCAAGTACCATTTTTTGACTCTAGCTGCTCCTTCACACAGAACTGGGATGCTGTCTCCTCTTCCACTTTACACTTCCAGTGAAAAAATCTATCCAGGGCAACATGCACTTGAAACCTATCCTGCTCTAACAGCCTAGATATGTAGTATCTTTACGTGTACCCGGGTGATGCTCAAGATTTGTGCAGTTTTTTCTTTCACATTGCATATAAACTTTTTCTCTACATTCCCTCTTACCTCCAAGAATGTAAGACCCTGGCAGAGAATCTGAATTGTCATCACAAGTCTTTCCTTTAAGTTGTCTGCACAACAAGGGAGCCAGAAGAGCTCTGGATTAAAATGGAGTATAGGAGTCAGGCAGCCCATTCAACCATTCTGTCCTTTTGCAACCATATCAATTTAGTTAATCCTGTAAGTCAGTGGAGGGATGAGAAACAGGCCTTTAAAAGGGTAAAACAGGAACGTAATTCTGTGCAAATGTGCAATATTAAGTCAGTAACAATTAATACTATTAATACAGGACTATTAATGTGGGCCAGAAAAACTCCTTTGAGGACTGTTTTCATCCCCTCCCCTTCTCTACTTCATCCCTGAAGGAGAAAGTCACCAACCTGTTCAAACAAATTTGAAAGTTCATTATTTATTTGTTCAGAAAAGAATGACCAACAATTCTTGTCTTAGAGACAGGCTTATGCAAGTGGGATACTCCACAGCTCTAACCTCAGGACACATTTCAAGTCCTCAATGAGGTTCAAATCTCTCTGCCACTTTCAGTTTGATACGTTATCACACTGCAGAGTCGACCTCCCTCAAAATTAATGGTGCTCCATTAGCCATTGTGAGAAATAAGGCCAGTACATTCCTAAAATAATTAAACACTTGGAACCTAAATCCCACAAGCAAGCAACCTAATCACAGGTCTTAGCTACCTGCTTTTTCAAATGTCAGAAGGCCTTGGTTTCATCCCAATAAAGAATGGAAAAAACACTAAACTTCTGAATTTCTGTACAGTGAGAAAATTATTTCCCTGACAACTCTAAATTAAATGTAACAGTGCAATCCAAATCTCAAAGTAATGAAAGTTTCATCTCTTGCTTCAGCTAGTCTTATACTTGAGCTGGAATGCAGCAACAGGTATGCAAGAAAGGATGCATTTAGCAGGCTATTTCAACCTCACTCTAGGTGTGTGTACATTAGTTGTCTTCACATGGAAAATACATCTACTTAGAGTGAACTTAATCTGATCTCTAATTTCATATTCCCCTTCATCCCATCCAATCTCCAGTCTGCAATGGGTTCAAATAGGGGTAGGGAAGTCTCTTTTTACATAAAAATTACTGAAAGTGTGCCACGTGAAAGGTCACATAGTAAAATTTGTGTCTGCTACGCTATTACCTGCTGTGAGAGGTCATAGAACAGCTATTTTCCTTGTTAACTGAACTCAAGACATTAAAACACTGTTCTACTCTGACCAGTGAGAGCAAAAAAACTAGCATCATGCAATACTGTTTGCTTCTGAAGTACTCACTCAAGTTACCAATAGAAAGACTGCTTCCCTTTATTACAAGCCCTGAAAATCCTCTGGAGCATGAGCCAAAAGCCTAGAAGTTCTGAAAGTGTTCTCCTTCCTTTTAGCTGTACCGTTATGTCTGCAGTAGGACAACACTGACATATCCAAAGACCTAGTCAGGCAAGTCAATTAACCTTAAAAAGCCAACCCATACCCCACACTAAAACCCTGTTAAACAGCCACACGGTGGAATATAGTTTCACTCTACAGAGATTCCTTCCTTTAATGAGGGAACGTCCACACCCTTCGAGCTGCATGCTACCACTCCTTCACACCTTGGTGTATGAGTCTGTTGATGTCAAGAGCCCAACAGGAACACCGCTGTTCCTCTGTCACAGCTGGCTGGAGACCTTTCCTCAAGTGGACATGGAAACTAACTGCCAAACCTAACAGATGCTCTCCTCCATGCTCACACAACCACGAGCACTTGAATGATTTGGCAGCAAATATTCTTTAGTCAGTAAGTAGCAAATTGTGACACTGTACTAACACCAGGTTCATCACGGCTAATCATTCCAGTATTGAAACCCTGCAAAGACAGAACTGCTCTATTTGTTTTCCCCAGCAGCAAGCAGTCCAACAAGAAGCAGAAAGAAGGGGCAAGAGGGAATGTGCAATAGAGAAGAGCTCAGATTCAGACCTTGCACCAAGAAAAGTGACAGCTCCTCTGTGATAATGTATTTACTAAGGGGCAAAGAACCTGGCACAACAGCAGCAGGCAGGAGAGAAGAGTAAGAAAACATGAGAAAAACCATCCTGTATACACAAAGGTCAGTGAAGAAGGAGGAGGAGGTGTTCCAGGTACCAGTGCAGGGATTCCCCTGCAGCCTGCAGTGAAGACCAAGCACGCTGTCCTCCTGCAGTCCATGGACATCCACAATGAAGCAGATATCTACCCTTCAGCCTGTGAAGGACTCGACCTCAGAGCAGGTGGATAAGCTCTGAAGGAAGTTGTGAACCCACAGAGAATCCAGACTGGAATAGGATCCTGGCCTGAACTGCAACCCCATGAAGAGGAGCCCACACAGAAACACATTTTCCAGCAGGATCTGTGGCCCCAAAGGGGATCCACACTGGAGCAACCTGTTCCCGAAGGATTTTCCTGTGGAAAGGACCCATGCTGAGCACTTCTTCAAGAATTTGAGCCCATGGGAAAGACTGTATGCTGGAGCAGGGAAAGAGCATGAGGAGAAAGGAGTGAAAGAGATGAAGCACTATGAACAGACTGCAACCCTCATTCCTCATGCTCTGAGCCTCTAAGGGGAAGAAGACAGAAGAACTGAAAGAGAAGTTGAGTCCAGGAAGAAGGAAGAGGTGAGGGGAAGGTGTCTTTACATTAGTTCTTTGTCTCAGTTTAAGGAGACTGAAGTTTTTTGTTAAGGAGGATGCGTTATGAGGTAGACCAAACTCTTCTCTCTCAGCAATTGTAAATCCGAAATTAAGAGGCTCCAATCGAGGAAGTATGGAAAAAGGAAGAAATAACAACCTTTTATTAAAGAATATATGTATATTGGCAAAACCAGCAAAAGAACACAAAACCAACTAAACAATAATCCTGTACCCAAAAGTCCCCTTCAAAAAGGGAACAGTCTGATACTTCTCTGTCCTCTAGCGTGACTCTAATCACGGTTGGCAGAGGGCACTGTTGGATCACTGGAGGAGCAGAGCCTGCAGTGCTCGGTGTTGGTCAGCAGAGGGCACTGTTGGGCTCTGGCAGTCGCCGCTTCAGGCCCCGGTGCGCGGGAGAAGCCGACAATGGAGACTTCCCCCCCCACACTGAGGAGGTGAAGGGGAAAAAAGGGGAAAAGGAGGGCGGGTTCTCTCCCACGAAATTCACGATGTCTGCAGCTGGCTGTGGTCGGGACTCCCCCCTTTCCTTGCCGAGCACAAACTCTCCGATAAAATCTGAGCAGGTCCAGCTGGCGACAGGGCAGACCGCAGGCAAGCCGAGGCCGGAGAACAGCCAGATGACCAGGTTGAGAGCAAAAACGGCCTCAGAGCTTTTCCAGCACACACCTTGCCCCCGTTAAAACAAAACATGAAGTGTCCCCCATTTGCAAGGAGAGGAGGAGAAAAACTCCTCCCCCCTCCCTGCAGTTTTGGAAGGGCCATCAACCTGGAATGCAGGTCTGCCAGCTAGTTCTTTTGTACAGTCAATTACCCCTTCCCCCTCCTCATTCAACCTCCTTCTCTTACAGTGGGACAGGGGAAAGGAAAATTTCTGCTTGGATTTTTAGAACAAGTAAACCTATGACATTCTTATTTCTCATTATCCTACTCTGATTAATCAACAATAAATTAAACTACTTCCCTATGTCGTCTAGTTTGCTATTGACTGTAAGTAGTACAGGACCTCTCTGTCCTGATCTCCATCCATGAGTTTTTAGTCATATTTTTCTCTCCCATCTTGCTGAGAAGGGGAAATGATAAAGTGGTTTGCTGAGCACCTGACAGCCAGCAAAGATCAACCTACCACATTCATGAAAAGCAGTCAAACACTATTAGTCAAAAGCCACCATGCACAGAATAAAACCAAATAAATGTCACCTAAACAGGACAGAGTAGCCCATCTATATTTCTTTTGACCACAGCATATTCTTCAATATCCTTCCAACAATATTCACCAGTGAGTCTGTTTCTCTATTCTCTCAGCAATGAAATGTCAAGCCTTCCTTTCCTATATAAAGTCAGTCTTCTCATTATCTTAAATTAAAACATAAGATGACTTGGGTTTTTTTAAGAAAAAGTGGCGCTTAAAAGCACAAGTTCGTGTGCAGATAAAAATTGCAGAATGAACATCCAGCAAATTCCTGAGCCTGAGTAAATTCACCTTAAAGCCTGCACTAAAAAGAAGTCCTTTTGACTTAAAAAAGCTGAGCATCTACTGATGTATTTTAGCAAACATATCCTGGAAATCAGCAAGAACCTTCCACTTTAATTAGAGTAAATATTAATTGGATTAAAAAATACTGCAAATTATCAAGATGGAAATAAATTCTTACATTTTTATTAAAATAATATGAGATATTAGATTATATTATCCTCTGAACACTGTGTGCTGGTACCTAAGATACAAGGAGAGGCTTGAAATACAGCCAACAGTCTGAGAGCAATGGTCTTATTCTCAGATAAACCAAGAAAGCATAGCAAATTTTGAGCTAAAGACTGATAACTTTCTATATGCATGTGGAAGATATTCTAGTCTGCTAACAATTAACAGTATTATTAAAAGCATGAAACTGTGACATTCTCTACAGGCAAAATCCAGTATTTACTACACATTATTGTCTTCTGTTGAAGTTGCTGTGAGTTTTTTTCTAAAGATACTAGTATGGACCCTACAGCAGGTACTCAGTATCTCGTAGGAGAGCATTTTATTTCTAAAAGGCATACTTGTTTACTACAGCAACAAACAATTCAGCTCCATGTTCTTCTCAAAGAAATTGGCACTATAAGATCCTCAGGGTGATCCTGATGTCTACTTTGAACCAGATGTGAGCACAGCTATAGTTAATGCCTATCTCTCCTCAGCTGTAGGTTAATACCTACCCACCTTCACCCAACTTTTCCAAATTCAGTAGTCAGTTTAAGCCTTAGCACATTAAGCAAGGCTCTCCCTCATGAAACAGCCCATGCTGTTTTTACTTCAAGAGACGAAAGTCAGATAAAATGTTATTTTCTCAATTCCTGCTAATATGGATGCTGCCAGTATCTCCAAAGCCAGAATTCAAACACTATCTTTTAAGAAAATAAACCCCACTTCTGCAAATACTTTTCCGCACTTCCCATATCAAAACTGCCTGCCCCAGATTAAGTCTCTCTATGATACAGTGGCAGTATTAAGAATTACTATCATTCTGCATCTGTCTGATTGTGGAAATAATTTACCTATTCCTGTGGCTGAAGCAGAAATTTACAGGACTACCCTGTGGTCTTTGGAAGGAAATATATGTTTGTAGGGAGGATGATGAGGTGACAGATGTGAACAAACGCATTTATGCTTCTCATATATCAACCATCCTACGACACTTTGGAACAAAGAAGTAGATTAGAATACAATCAATACATCATTCTTAAATTGCTGTCCTGAAGAGAAATAAAAGGAAAATGTTTTAAACTTTCCCACTACCCTTTCTTGTGCCATGCATCTCCCAGGAAACAGCCTGCTGAAACTGGCTCCACACAGCTACTTGCAATTGCCTTCTTCCATTGCAGTCAACTGCCAGTTATGAAGCTGTACCTTCTCAAAGATTTTTGGATTGAAAAGTCACAAGATTCTCCAGTTCTTGCCTTATTTGTATTTCCTTCACAGATGTATACACACTCCAGGAGCATATGCTTCTCTTCTCTGGGTGACTCAGACACACAAGAAGTAAACTCCTACCTGTTATTGCCCATAGGAGCAGGCAGAGAACACCAGGTCCGAATGCCATACTGCACCACGAAGGCAGTGACAACCGCTTTTTCATTTGTGTCGAAATTCTAGGTCTTAACGTCGGTTTCCTCTTATACTGTTTAGTTCCCTCCTGTGTCCATCAAGCACTGCAACAGACAGCACAGGAAAAAATAGGTCAGATGTGAGCATTAATTAGAATGTCACAGTAACAGACAATAGACAGTTGACATGCAGGCTTTATCATTACTTCCTGACTTCTTGATGGATGACACAGTAGATCAGGCAAGCTGAAGATACAGAACAAATTACCTACCTGGAAATCTCTTTCTCTTTTCAGAAGATGCAGAAACGTCCCAGAAAGATTTGCGTGCTTAGGCTACTCTACCTCAAAACCCACATTAATTCTGTTTGCAGTTATCTATCCAGTCCCTGGTTTTCCTCTGACTTGAAACAGAAACTAGCATGTACCCTTAAATGAGGAATCACAGACAGTATTGTTTGTGCTAAAATCCATGCAGTGTTAAGGTAGCTCTTGAGGCAACCCTCAAGCTGTTCTCCCTCAGCTACCAAGGTAAATGAAAACAGACACTTCTCCAGAATTTCTAGGGAGACATTCCTTGCCATGACACTAAATTCTACAAATAAGGCAGACTAAGCAACAAATAGATGTAAGAAATAAATAGTTCAAAGCAACATTATTCATGAAAGAAAAAAAGCTAGTTTAGTCAAACTCACCACTCCCCCCACCCACCGCCCCAAGGATCCTAGGTGGATGCTTGACCAAAAAATATTTCTGTAAATGAAAACACAGGTAGTGATTTTTTCAGTGAACAGCCCTTCTCAAGGCAGAGTATCTCAGTCAACTCCCTTTGATGTTCATGATGTGACTTTCATCTTTCAACTGCCTGTATCTACATATGATGGAAATGCTGCTAACTGGATGCTCTTGGAAGGTTCCTTACCACACATAATTTTATATGATGAAAGATCATCTTGTTCTTTTTCCCTTGCAAAAGAAGTAAGTTACTTAGATGTGCTAAGGCTGACTGAACTAGACTAGAAACCCTAGCAGCTCAGCATTTGGACTTTTGCTCTTTGAGAAGGGATCTTTTCTAGATGGCATGTCTGTAAAGCACATGAGCATCTGGACCTTGGTTTGCAACTTCTGTGACTGATCGCAGCTTTTCCAAAGCAAGCCCTGTATTTATCTCAATACAAAGGGGACCAGAGGTTGGCAGTGTTTTAGAATGATAGGTGTTGTTCTATCAACAGCTGAGTGGATCCACTGATGTGTAAATGTTTCTCCCACTTATTCATTAAAGAGTGTGAATGTCTCCCAGAGCTAGCCAGACCAGCATGCACACAGCGAATAGGTGGCTCAACCCAATTCAGAGCATAAAAACTGAACAACTAGCAAAAGAATTTTGAAGAGAGTAATGGGCTTGAGCTAGCTTCAACCCACATGTTCCTTCCCAGTGTTGCAATGGTGAACTTAATATAGAGACTAGTAATGGGAATCACATTAGTATTATGATAGAACTGTATACTGCCATTGCTGTGTTTTGCCAAGCATAAAGTACATTTGCATTGTGATTTCCATATGCTTTGTGTTGCTCCACAAAATCAGAAATCCTGTGTCACAACAAGTATCTCCAAATCAGTAAATCTGATATTAAACATTTCACCCTTTACACATGGAATATCTAAAAGGAACTGGTCAGAGCACACTGGACTCTGACAGCTTTTTCTCAAGTTTGTGGTACAAACACTAACTCTGCTCAAGTCAAGCAAAATGAGTACAGAACATCACTAGAACCATGAAAAAAATTAGATTTAAAAATAAATCCCAAGTACAAAAAGATAAGGCTTTGGGCAAGCTCTCTGCAAAACCAGGAGAGACTATTACTAACTTTTCAAAAGCCTAACTTTTCTTGATTTAAAATATAACTTGATTTCTGGGACCTTTGTTCTATCGAACATCATCAAAAGTCCCCTTCCCAAGGCAGATGCCTAACTGCAGAGTATGTTGGTCTCCCAGTTTATTCCTATGCTGCACAACGAGAAAAATTATTTCTGATCACAAAAAATAACTGTCACCAAAAGAAAAAAAAAAGAAACACATAACACTATACTGTTCCTTGTATGATAGTATTTTAATATATGCAATTAGATGTTCCCTCAGGAAGCAGTTCCTGATAGAATACACATAGCTGTGCTTCTCTGTAGCGATTTGAACTAATTTAGTAAGGCTTCACCTTAGAAAGAGCAAAAGGCTGTCTGGACACTTCCAGGTACTACTTCTATGATACAAAATCTTCAGCAGTGGGGACATATTTTGCTCTCTTATATTCCTCAACTGTTATTCTGTCCTTCCACCAACTATAAAGTTATCTGTTTCTGTAACAGAAAAAAAAAGACCACAAGTTTTTTCTTTTTTTTAAGCCAAGACATTCTAAATATCCCATTCTGAATGTGGCCATTGAAGTGGCTGAGCCCTTGGCAGCATCCAGGAATAGTATCATCGGCAACTGAACAGAAATGAGCATTTATGCACAGGAGGGGAAGAGTCAGTCCTGAAGGCCCCACAACATGGGACCTCACCTTTTGATTTCACTGTAAAGGTGATACAAATGAAATTGTTTAATTTCGCACTGAAATGCACGATGGACAGTCAATCCACGGAATGGCTGAGGTTGGAAGGGACTTTGTCTACCTTGTCACCTTGTCTACCCCCAGCTCAAATGAGGCAATCTGGAGCTGGCTCCCAAAAGACCATGTCCAGACAGAGCCAGTATCTCCAAGAATTGCCTTCTTTGCAGCAAGGGCACAGTGCTGGCTTATGGTCAACCTGGTGTCCATCAGGACCCCTAGGTCCCTTTCTACAAATGTATTTTACAGCTGGGATGTCCCCATGGAGTTGTTCTTCCTCATGTGCACTTCCACTTGCTAAACTTTATGAGATTCCTGTCAGCCCATTTTTCCAGCCTGTCCACGTCCCTCTGGATGGCACTGTGACCATCTGGCCTATCAGGCACTCCTCCAAGTTTTGTGTCATCAGCAAACTTGCTGAGGATATACGCTGGACTACCATCCAGATAAGTAATGAAGATGTTGAACAGGACTGAACCCAGTACTGCCCCTTGGGTTACATCTCCAGTTACTGGCCTCCAACTGGGCTTTGTGCCACTGACCACCTCACTCTGGATGGAGCCATTCAGCCAGGTTTCAATCCACCTCACGCTCCGCTTATCCAGCCCCTAGTTAATAGATTCTCTACAAGGATATTACAGGACACAACATCAAAAGCCTTACTGAGGTCAAGACAGGCAATATCTACTGTTTTCCCCTTATCTACCAAGTCAGATTTCTACAATGACATCACTAAGAGGTTAGTCAAGCATGATTTTGCCTTGATGAATCTATCCCGGCTCTCGGTTATGCAGGCAGCGATCTCCAGCTGAAAAGAGATGATTTCTTAAGCCTTTCCAGCTGAAGCCACCAGCTTATACTTGCCCATGTACATTTATTCTAACACATTACTCAAAGTTATTGCTTTTATTTAGTGTTTTATTTCAGAACATTCAAACTAAACTAGAGAGATGTACAGAGTGTACGATTTTTATAAACTCCACCTTTTAACAGTTTTTGAAATGTTCCTGTTGCTTTTGAGAGAGAGAACAGAGGAGCAGAGATAAGCTATGTTCCTAATAAGTATTTCCAACTTATTACCACAAACCCCAAATACCTCATATATGAAGGGTAGAAAAATTATTATTGCAGTAAGATCAGAATTTCACATACAGATTTTTTCCTGTTTCTATGGAAATCTGTCTAGACTTGGAAAAGTTGCTAGCCACCAAAACCTGTGATTTGCAGAAGAGCTTATCACTGCAGCTTAAGGTTTCTGAGATATTGTGCATTTGCTGCAACCTTCACTCATTCCCAGAAGCAGCCAAATGGATCAGATGCCTAAGAGAGACTTTTAGTCCTTTAGCCTAAGGAAAAATGCATCAGGCTCAGTATCAGAACATCACGAGGTCAGAATTAGCCCAGATCAGAGGAAGAAAAATAATTTGTTTATTTTATAGGCCTTTTTCCTCTGCAAGGGCAACTTAACTATCTCACTAAGAGGAGACAAATAGCAGCTTCTATTTCCTAGTGAACAGTTGACTGAGGAGTCCACATGATTACTTCTAGCAACACTAAGAAAAACATCGAGAGGTTGTGCAAGTAATCCAGATTTTTTCAGCATTACTTGTCCAGAGTTCAGAAACACAAGTTCTTGTAGCAGATGGTTGTGGATTTAGTTTCTTTTTTTTTTTTTAATTTAATTTACATTAAGAAAATACAACTTGCCAAAGCTACAAAATGCCAGATTTTGGACCGCATGTAGAATCTCCACTGAATCCTTATGGGACACACCATATGAGGATACAGTGAATGCACAAAAGCAGCACTGTGTCCTCCCATGCTTCTTTGTGGCTCCACATCTATTGATGTTTAATTTCCACATAATAAAAGAGTTTGCATTCACTGCAACGCTAGCTTGTGTTTCCTGATATTAGGATCAAGCTCAGACACAAAGTACACAAAGTCACAATTCAGTGCACAGCTTCTGACCCACAGATGAGAACAAAGCTACCAGACACCACATGCCTTCTTGAACTGCTAAAACAATAAACACTGCTGCAGTGTATGCATCCAATGCTGCCCTTATCATCCTCATGACACTGTTCTGTTCCCCACAACTGCAAGTTTCATCACACAAACACAAAAGACATTAAATTTTAAAGAAGGTAGCAAGCCATGAGATTCCAGCAGTTAAAAATAACTCAGGCCGCAAGATTAATTTGCTAGCTGAATCTCTATCCTTCACTGATATCACAAAGCCTGTTATTTTTATAACAACACAAGCAGCCAGCATTGCTGGTAATTACTTTGGCATTTCTTGGCTCTTAGGAGTTCAAGTCTGACTTGAACTCTTAGCTAGAAGAGGGATGGCAGCCTTGAGAAGCAGGTATGGTAAAAATAGACACGTATTATCCATATGTTGCCTTACTCTGAAAGCTATGTTTTTCTGGTCCAGCTGGCAGGTTTTGGTAGTGCTCTAGCCAAGAGAATAAGAGGGAATTCTGAACTGATCCCT